GTCAGATGCTTTAGGCACTACACCACCAGAACTTCTTTGGGCTCTTGAATGAAAAATAGGAAGCTCTGGTGGCATAGTGCCTAAGTCATCTGACTGCTAACCAGAAGGCTGGTGGTTCAAACTCACCAGCCCTCCTCAGAAGAAAGACTGGGCAATCTACTTCCATAGAGATACCTCTCCTGCATAAACCAAAACACCAAACTCACTGCTGTTGAGTAGGATCCGACTCATAATGATCCCTCCTTAGGTTTCTGAGTCAGTATCACTATGAAAGTAGATTGCCCAACCTTCCTTCCAAGGAGTGGCTAGTGGGTTTGAACCTCTAGCCTTCTGGTAAGCAGTCAAATGCCTTAGGCACTATGGCTACCAGAGCTCTTAGAATTGTACCACTGAACCACCACTGTTTTCTGGCAGATATTAATAACCATACTTTTTAAACTGGAATACTTTTTAAACTTTTGCTTGTAGTTATTTAACTGTTGACAATGTACATCAACCTCTCTAAGCCTTATTATAGGAGCTCTGGTGGCATAGTGCCTAAGGCATTTGACTACTAAGTTTGAGTTCCAACTCACCAGCTACTCCTCGGAAGGAAGATTGGGCAATGTACTTCGTAGTGATACTGTTTCGGAAACCCAAGGAAGGGTCGCTATGAGTCAAATCCGACTTCATGGCAGTGAGTTTGGTTTTTGGTTCTTTTGGAAGCCTTATTATACATGATGTGAACATGAAGATGATAAATGGTACTGCCCTAATAGAGCTGTTGTGAAGAATAAACAAGATAATGAAACTGAAGCTCTAAAAACAGTGGCTGGCACACAGAAAGGGCTCAATAAGTAATGACCATTACCTAAGTTCCCCTAATAGTAAAGTAGCAGGAACTTGTACCTCTGAGTAGGGTAAGAAAATAGGGAAGTTATCAGTTAATATAACTGAAAGGTCCAAAGTAGGTTTGGCTTCAGGCAGTTTGATTTAGGGATCACTAGGAGCCCTGGTAGCGTAGTGCCTAAAGCACTTGACTGCTAACCAGAAGACTGGCGGTTCAAACCCACCAGCCACTCCTCGGAAGGAAGATGGGGCAATCTACTTCCGTAGTGATACTGCCTCGGAAACCCAAGGAGGGGTCACTATGAGTCGGGTCCAACTCGATGGCACATAACAACAACAACAGCAAAGAAGAGGGAGCCTGGTAGCGTAGTGCCTAAAGCACTTGACTGCTAACCAGAAGGCTGGTGGTTCAAACCCACCAGCCACTCCTTGGAAGGAAGATGGGGCAATCTACTTCCGTAGTGATACTGCCTCGGAAACCCAAGGAGGGGTCACTATGAGTCGGGTCCAACTCGATGGCAAATAACCACAACAACAGTGATGTCACTGGGACCCAGTGTCCCTCTCTCCATCTCTCAGCTTCTTTCTGAGTTGGCTGCCCCTCCCAGAAGCAAAATGGCTTCAGCAGCAGCAGCAGACCACACATTTATACAGACTCAAGGCAGCAGAAGAGGGCACCTATCCACTCTCCCAGAAGCCCCAGGAAAAGTCTCACGATACCTCCTTGGCTCGGCTGGGCCCAAAGCACATTCCTTGAGCCAGTCAGTTACTGGCTTCAAGGGACCATTATGTACACACTGGCTTGGGGCTCCTCTGGACTTTGGGTATAGCCAGGCCCACAGAAAGATCACAGATTGAGAATGGGACAGTGGCTTTTCAGAGGGACATCAGTGTTCCTAGGAGGAGAACAAATGGCTGCTGAGTGGAAAACCACAGGTGAATCCATAGTACCCCAATTTAAGAGCAAGGGGATTTTTTTTTTTAACTTCTTTGGCAACTAACTGATCAAGGAATATTACCACAGGTTTCCTCCTTAACCCTTTCAAGACTGAACTATTTTCTACTTTGAATTTTTTGTTGATACTAGTGCCTAAGGCATTTGACTGCTAACCAGAAGGCTGGCGGTTCAAACCCACCACTCCTCGGAAGGAAGATTGGGCAGTCTACTTCCATAGGGATATTACCTCAGAAACCCAAGGAGGGGTTGCCTTGAGTCAGATCCCACTCAACGGCAGTGAGTTTGGTTTTTGGTTTATGTGTTTTCAGTAATGGACCCACCCACTGCCATCAAGTCGATTCCAACTCATAGTGACCCTTTAGGACAGACTAGGACTGCCCCATCTTAACAGAAGCAGACTGCCATGTCTTTCTTCCGTGGAGTAGTGGGTGGATTTGAACTGCTGACCTTCTGGTTAGCAGCTGAATGCCTTAACCACTGACCTTCAGAGCCCCTTTTCAGTAATGGAAGACATGCTGAAATAAAGGGGAAAAATATTTGAGGTGATACGGATTTGATAAAATTCTGTGGGATATATTTGTCACAAGTGGACTCTGGTGGTGTGATTGGTGGGGTGAAACACATTTCTTCAGATTTGTCATGGTTATACATGTCCCTGCCATGTGGTAGCACATACTACAACTGGGATAGTAGCTTCCTACGAAACCTGAGAGGCTGGAAATGTTTGTGGGTGATATACGGCCTATGGGTCACAAAGGGGGGTCCAGTCAATTGCAACTCATATCAACTCTATAGGACAGAGTAGAATTGTCCATAGGGTTTACAAGGCTGTATATTTTTACGGAAGCAAACTGCCACCACATCTTTGTCCTGCATAACAGCTGGTGGGTTCTGAGTAAGGCCACCCCAAAATTGACATAGGGCTCCCAACATGAGACCGTGGCTATGCTGAGGTCTGTGGCCAAAAGCTCCATTTTGAGCCAAAAGTAACTTCTGCATCAAGAAATGCAGCCTGTCATTTCTGTGACTCTCCACTGTACCCTGAGAAAATTACTTGATAAACAATTTTACAGAAGAATTTGATTTTGTTTGTTTTAAGAGTTTGGCTTGCTTAAGAATACCCACTGCTCAGAAAACCAAGTTCAAAGCAATTTTCAGAACAGAGGCTTACTCAAGATAAACCTTAATTACACATGTCCTCCTTGTGTGACTCACGACTAATTCAAGGTCAGATGTACCCTCAATCAGTTCTGTGACCACTACCTAAATAAATCTCAGCTAATCACTGAATTTTTATTGACTTTCTTTATTCTCCTGTCATTCAGATGTACCATCTCTGAATTTTTAATGACAGTTTTAATTACATTATAATTACATGTATCAAACCCAACCCACTGCCATCGGGGCGATTCTGACTCATAGTGACCCCATAGGGTTTCCAAGGCTGTAAATCTTTGTGAAAGTAGATTGCCTCATCTTCATCCTGCAAAGCAGCTAATGGGTTTGAACTGCCGATCTTCAGAGCTCCTTATAATTACCTATGTGGTTATTGTATGTTGTTGTTGTTGTTGTTGTTATGTGCTGTCGAGTCAGCCCTGACTCATAGCAACCCCGGTCCTTGGGTTTCCCAGGCAGTATCACTACAGAAGTAGGATTGCCCAGCCTTCCTTCCGAGGAGTGGCTGATGGGTTTGAACCGCCAGCCATCTGGTGAGCAGTCAAGTGCCTTAGCCACTATGCTACCAGAGCTCCCAGTTATTGTATAGTAACATTAATAAATTAGATATTTTTTGATAGACCTGCCAATTAGCAAAAGTAAGTCAAACCAGAGCTTCGAACCAGAATGAACTGTTCCTGCTAAGAATTTGCTTTTCCACCCCAGATATACTGAATGAGAATCTACAGTTTAGCAAGATCCCCAGGTGATTGTTATAGGTCTTGTTAAAATGTAGATTCTGATTCAGTGTCTCTTGGGAGGAGAGGCACATTTCCAGCAGGAGGTTGAACCAGAACTGGTTGGAAGCTCTGAATCAAACAAGAACTTTAATCTGACCTGAGGCTTATTTCCTATTATTGTCATGGGAAATTGTAGGAAAGTGCACATTCCTTAAGAATGGAGTATACTTCCTTATCTTCTTCCCAGATCCCCCCTCAATTTGAGCCTTTGTGTTTTGTGGTAAACATGACCCCTCCCCCAAGCCTCTTTTGCTGGCACCAGCTCACCTCTAGCAATGGGATCTTGGCACTTGTCCTTTGCTGAGCACCTACCATGGGCACAAATGGGTGCTTTACACATGGGCTCTTGGTCCACCTCACACATCTGCATTACAGAGAAGGTCATGAGGCCCAGAGAGGGACCACCCCTGCATGAATAATTTTGTGCCCATGCCCAGATATGCTGTCTGCTCATATGTCCTCACCTCATCACTGGAACCTTCCAAGTATCCAGCCTTGCACTCCTTCTTCTTTGATTCATGGATCTTATATTTGCATGGTGTGGTACATCCTACAATTGGACTACCTTTTGGTATCTCTTTTCTTGTCTCCCTTTTCCCAAGACTGTGTTCTTAGATGTAGAACATTCGGCCACTTCCCATCTCTCAGTACACTTTCTTCTCTTACTCAAATCTCACCCGTAAGCCCTCTTTTCTCAGAATCCTGTATTGATGAGTTCAAGTCATTCAGTCCCTAGATACTCACTGATGAGCTGTGATCTGTGTCAGGCATTGCACTGGGTTCTGAGGACATAGTCCCGCTATCACAGAGTTCCTGGGCTTTCAAAGAATTCATTCTCCCAAGTCCACCCAACCACAAACCAGTTGGTATCAAGTCAACTCTCTCTCCTCTCTTCATCCTGGTAAAATAAGTCTACTCTATCAGAGTAGAACTGTGCTCTATAGGATATTCAGTGGCTGAATTTCAGGAAGTAGATTGCCAGATCTTTCTTCCAAGGCACCTCTAGGTGGACCCAAATCTCCAACATTTCAGTTAGCAGCCAGGGACTCCCAACCACAACTAAAGAATTTTTTCTTTAGCATTCACCTCAAAATGTCACCCAAACCCTCCTACCTAACCCTAAGATGAGAACTGTCTGGAACATGACTGTCCATTCACTATCATCTCATGCTCTAAGCTCCCAGGGGTTGAACAAGATTGTTAACATTCTCCCCAGCACTGAGGCCTCTCTGATGAAATTCCTTATGCTGTGTTCACAGGTGATTGCTGGCTGCTGGCAGCCATCGCCTCCCTCACCTTGAATGAAGAAGTCCTGGCCCGAGTCGTCCCCCTAGACCAAAGTTTCCAGGAAGACTATGCAGGCATCTTCCACTTCCAGGTAACTTAATGCTTGACTCAAGCTTCTTCTCCACAAGTCCCAGACATAGGAACAGGTGCCCTAGTTTGGCTGAGTTCATTAGTCCCAGTCTTTGCAGACTCCTAGAACCAGTGCTCTTCTATAAAGGACATTGAGAGAGAGCAGAAAGCTCCCTGACCCACCTCTGACAGGGGACCCTACAAAGGTGGCAACGGGAGACTCTTTGGTCACTGAAAGTAGGGAGTAGAGCAGGGTGCTCAGGAAGTAATTCCCAAGTTTCAAAACATGGAATGTGAAGGTACTCCCCTCTCTCCTCCCTTCATCCTGGTAGAGTAAGGACTAATATTTTAAAATTGTAAGGTAGTGGGTAGAATGCAAAAGGTCAATGAAAAAGGAAAGAAACCGTCAGTAAGATAGATTGACACAGTAGCCTCAACAAGGGACTGAAGCACTGGAATCCATGAAGATGGCCAGGACCGGGCATTTCATTCTGTTCCATGGAAGGTCACCAAGAGTGGGAGCAACTGGGCAGCAAATAACAAGTGAACGCTGGAAAAGTGGGTGTGGGTGAGGAGGGAATGATGAGACTTCTGTCCTCAATTTCTTAGTGAGGACTTGGCAGCAATAGGAGAGTTAAAGGGAGCATCTCCACCAAAATGGGACTCATGGAATCTTCCCCAAGGGGCTGGGGCAGGAGGGAGTGCAGTGCTGCCAGGGGCTCCTCTTCCAGCCTCCCCCTGTGCCAGTCCCTTTCCTTGTCCTGCAGTTCTGGCAATATGGCGAGTGGGTAGAGGTGGTGGTGGACGACAGGCTGCCCACCAAGGACGGGGAGCTGCTGTTCGTGCACTCGGCAGAGGGGAGTGAGTTCTGGAGCGCCCTGCTGGAGAAGGCGTATGCCAAGTAAGTGACCACACCCCTGCCCTCAGAGTGCCTGCCTTCCACTCAGCCCTGGACTCAGAAACAGCTGGAAACAGTAGGTAACACTCAAAGACTACAGTGAAAAGAAGGCCTACACTATAGAAGGACTACTTGGGCCAAAATTGAGCTCTAAATTTAAGATGAACCGTGTACGGTGCCTGGCCCACACCAATGACAGCCATTGTCATTTTTAACCAAATGCACAGGACAAGTTAAGGCACTGGCTGTGCTAGCCTCGAGAAGGAACTCTTTTTCCTTGGCAGGTCATACTATAGTTTTTCAACTAAAGCAACAAAGAATTTTTTGCTTTAACTCTTTATTTGTGATTTGGGTGCAGTTTTACAAAGCAGATTCATTTTACATTCAACAGCTCATGTACATTTCATGACTGATTACAATCCCCACAGTGTAACAGCTCTCTTCTCATATCCTCCGTGTGGTTACCCCTTCCCTATGGGCTTCTTACCTATGTGTTCCTGCTTGCCTAGCTTCTTCCCTGTGCAAATGCTGTCCTTCTGATCTCCCATGGTTGATTGTTCTAAGGAGTGAGCAGAGTTTTTGCCAATGGGCACAAATACTCATTGCAGAAGTATGAAAATTATGGAAACATGCCCAGAATATAAGGTCCCTGGGTGGCGTACACAGTTGGCACTCAACTACTAATCAAGAGGTTGGCAGTTTGAAATAACCCTCTGGCTCCATGGAAGAAAGGCTTCTGTAAAGATTACAGCCAAGAAATCCCTATGGAGCAGCTCTACTCTGCCACACATGGGGTCACCATGAGTCAGAATCAATTTGATGCTAATGGATTTGGCGGGTTTTGTTTTAATTTTGGCCTAGAATATATGGTGTTGCTGATAGGAATGGCTCCCTCACACCCCTCCCAACTGCTTTCACCCAGATTGCTCAGAGTTAAGCTTGTCCAGTTCTCAGAGCTGCCTAGTCTGAGAGGCCCTTCATTAACCATCTCCAGGATGGCCAGTCCTGGTCATGCTCTCTGGGTACCTCCATTAAAGTGAATGAGTCTAAGACATGGAGAGGATTGTATTCTTACAGCCCTATGCCAGGAAGGAAGGGCCAGGATTCACATGCCCACCTGTGAGAACCTGGGACCTGAAGGATGGCTCAAGTAGTAGAGTTAGAGAAGCCATTGGACTCTACCTTGGTGGCCAGGAACTATAAGTCCATACTCACTCAGTGCCCACTTCTATGGGAAACTGCCTTTGTTATTGGATTGTTGTCTTACTTTAAGCTTTTAATGCCAAACAGTTAATTGCCCAGGCTCCCTTTCCTGTCAGGATGTGGAAAGAATCAATACACATGCTTGAGATGTTGGACCGGATAATTGCCAAGATCCTTCCACTTCTCAGACTCCTTGATACGTTTTTAAAAACTTCCCCAATTACCAGGGAAGTCGTAACTAGAGATGGTAAATTGCCTTCATAGGCACTCTGAGTTGGACACAAAGCCAGAGAGAATCTGAGCAGAAGGTCCCTACAGGGTCCAACAGTTGTCAAAGTGGGGAACCCTTTGAAAGGCAATCGTGTCAGCCACAGCAGTAGCAGCATCTATTCCCTTTTTGCAGGATCAATGGATGTTATGAAGCGCTCTCTGGAGGTTCCACCACTGAGGGCTTTGAGGACTTCACTGGAGGCATCGCTGAGTGGTATGAGTTGAGGAAGGCCCCTCCCAACCTGTTCAAGATCATCCAGAAAGCCCTGCAGAAGGGCTCTCTCCTTGGCTGCTCCATTGATGTAAGTTGAGGCCTCCATCCCTGTCACCTGACCCCCAAATCTGCTCTGTCTGCAGTGAGGCTCTAGCAGCTGAGGAAACCTGCCATCCCTATTTATAACACTAGTCTACTCTTGGCCCACCATATTTCTTATCACATGGCACTAAGGGGTTGCTAGGCAACAGCCAGGCTATCTGGGGTGCAACTGATGGGGGTGATATACCCTCTAGCCCTTTTCTCCCAGCCTATTTCCCCATGCTCAACATCCTCCAAATAACCACACCATACCACAGGTTCGCTGAAAGTCCCCTGCCCTTTCTCTGCTAGTCCTAAAGGAAGAATTGCCCTCTTCCATCTACTGGGCTTGCCTGAGCCCAAGTGCCTTCCCTTCATTCTGTTCTAGGATTAATGGACCTATGGAAGGACTTCAAAAGGCCCCGAAAGAAACCATTTCCTCATAATAGCTGTGCTGGCAAACCTCACAAGGGGAGGAGAGATGGGCACCATGTCCAGGCCAAGAAGCCTGGAGACAGAAGCTGCATCCAATACCCTGAGCTCTGTCCCATCCAAGAACTGATCCTTGCAGGGACAGATAATAGAAATTCTGGCTTTGGGGGCCAAATCTGTCAGACTGTAGGCAGAGATTCTTAAACTTTTCTTGTGGACCATAGCAAGGCAAAAGACCCTTTGAACTCTTAGCTCTTTTTCTCATTTACCAAGACATTAACAACCTTCTTCAGAATAATAGGGGAAAGGAGTGGTTTTGAGGTGCTTCTAGTACAACAGAAGTGAATTCTGAACTCAGGCCCTCAACAAAGACCTGTCACAGTATATACCATGTGGCTGGGCTAGGACAGACCCTGGAGCATCAGAAAATGAGCATGTCTGGGCTATCAATGCCCTCTGGGTGTCTTCTTCCTGTGCCCCCACCCTACCCCTAGGCCTCACCATTAATGATGGCAGACCGTGCTCGCTGTCCTAGAGGGCCGCATTAAGGCTTTCCTCCTGCTAGTGGCCCTTGAGCACCTACAAGCAGCAGCGGGCATCCTTCACGTATCGGAAAGCAAAGCAAGCGCAGCTCTGTACGTTTCCCCAGCTCAGGGCTGCTCCACCGCCACCCCTCATATTACGTCCAGAGTCACACCTAGCGCGTATGAAGGTGTTTGTGATAGGACTGTTGTGAAAGAGGGTAGAAGAGGCCGGGCCTGCGCTGATTCCTCCCCTGTTTTGCAGATCACCAGCGCTGCAGACTCTGAGGCCATCACATTCCAGAAGCTGGTGAAGGGGCACGCGTATTCGGTCACGGGAGCCGAGGAGGTAATGCCCAGCAAGGATGTTCAGAAGTCTTTCTCTTGCTAACACTATAGCCAAAAGCACATCTTGGCCTGTGACTGCCCATGGTAGGGCCCGCATATTACCACAGTGCCATTTCAAAACACGCCTCGCTTTTCAGAAGTTCCAACAGGAATACAACTTTCCCTTCCGGAGCCAGGGTCGGCAAAGTGCGGCGCGCGCTGCCCTCTGGTGGCCACAGTGTACCACTCCAGAACCAAAAACCAAACCCAGTGCCATCAAGTTGATTCCAACTCATAGTGACCCCAACCGGTTTCTTTAAACAAGTAAAAAGAAACTCACTGCCATCCAGTCGATTCTTTCTCATAGCCACCTCCTTTTGGGTTTCCAAGGCGATAAATCTTTAGGGAAGTAGATTGCCCAGTCTTCCTTCTGCGGAGCAGCTGATTTGTTTGACTTGCTAACCTTCTGGTTAACAGCCAAATGCCTTACCCACTTACATACCACCAGAGCTGCTTACGAGGTGAGAGGTTTGATATTGACCGCTAGTCGAGAGAGAAAAGTGAAGCAATCTACTTCTATAAAGATTACAGCGTTGGAAACCCTATGTTGTTGTTGTTAAGTGCCCTCGAGTCAGACCCGACTCACAGCGACCCCGCCTTGGGTTTCCGAGGCGGTATCACTACGGAAGTAGATTGCCCCATCTGCCTTCCGAGGAGTGGCTGGTGGGTTTGAACCGCCAGCCTTCTGGTTAGCAGTCAAGTGCCTTAGGCACTACACTACCAGAGCTCCCTATGGGACGGTTTTACTCTACTATAGGATCTGAGTTGGCATCAGCTTGACTGACCCCAAAGCAGCAGGCAGGATTAATTTGGGGTCAGGAATTTTGGGGTTCCTGGATGAGAAAAGCCTCTTGAAATAAAAGTTAAATATCTATTTTTAATTTGAAAACTTATTCTGTGTACCCCAGAAAGTGAACATTATTAATTCAATAGCATCATTTTATAGTCCATATTTCAATTTTACCAATTGCTCTAAAATATCCTTTGTAGTATATTATCCCCAACCCAAAATTCTACCAAGATTCATGCACTACATTTACCTCTTATCACTAATTATTTTTTAAATTGTTTTGCTATGGTAGAAATACACATAACAAAGTATTTGACAATTCAGTATTTTTTACATGTACAATTCCATGGCATTCATTACATTCATCCTGTTGTGAAACCGTCACCACTAGATGTTGCCAGATTTTTCCATCACCCTTAACAGAGGCTCAGTGCCCTATAAACATTGACTCCACCCTCCCTCCCACCACTGCCAACACTAATAAACTTCATTCTCTTACACACTTAACTATTCTAGATATTTCATATAATTGGGATCATGAAATATTTGCCCTTTTGTAACTGATTCATTTCACTCAGTATCGTTTTCAAGGTTCATGTATGTTGTAGCATGTGTCAGGACTTCATTTCTGTTTACAACTGTGTAGTATTCCATTGTATGTATGTATCACATTTTATTTATCTATTCATCTGTTGATAGCATTTAAGTTGTTTCCATCTTTTTGCTATTGTACTGCAGTGTAATCAGTGTGACAAAAGTACATCCTACTATATTCAGTTAAATTAAAAGTTCAGAGAGATCAGGTACCAAAGCCAAGTCTAGAACAAGCCTGCTTGTGCCTCAGACTCAGGACAAAGGTGAAAAAGCCACTACAAACCCATTTCTCAAAGCTCTTTACAGTGAGTGGTCTGCAAGTCAGACCTCCTAGGACATGCAAAAGGAGACTTTGAACCAACTCGGGTAACTCCAGGCTTGGCTCAGCTCTCTTTCTTCTCATCCTTTAGGTTGAAAGCAGTGGAAGTCTGCAGAAACTGATCCGCATCCGAAATCCCTGGGGGGAAGTGGAGTGGACTGGGAAATGGAATGACAAGTGAGTAGTTTCAATAGGTTGGGAGCCCTGGGAGGAGGTGTGGAGAGAAAGCAGCAGGGTTGTGTTCTGCCTTAGAGGCTCTGGCAAATGAAGAGAGGAAGGCATGTGTGATGTGCTGAGGAAAAAGGCCGAGATTCACAGGCAACATTGGTGGGACACATAGGACAGGCAGCACACTCTAGTAAGGGTCTCTTAACCAGTGCTCTTAGAGTTCCTGGGTGGTAGAAATGTTTAACACACTTGGCTGCTAACCAAAGGGTTGTCCATTTGAGTCCACCTAGAGGCAACTTAGGAGCCCTGGTGGCATACTGCCTAAGGCATTTGACCACTAACCAGAAGGCTGGCAGTTCAAACCCACCAGCCACTCCTTGGAAGGAAAGTTGGGCAATCTACTTCGGTAATGATACCGCCTTGGAAACCCAAGGAGGTATCACTATGAGTCGGATCCAACTCGACAGCAGCAAGTGAGTGAGAGGCAACTTGGAAGAGAGAACTGGTGATCTACTTCTGAACAATCAACCATTGAACACCCTCCAGAGCACAGTTCTACTCTGACGCACATGGCGTTGCCATGAGTCAGTGTCTACTCAACAGTAACTGGTTAACCAGGGCACTACTTCCAGCGGTCAAGGTGCCTTTTCACAAGGCCCAGTCCCCCTAGGATGCTCATTCCTGTCACTCTCTCATGGTTAATCCCTTCTCTAGTTCAAACCCACCTTTCTGTGGGGTGTTTAAGGAGCTCTGGTGTGCTAAGGCATTTGACTGCTAACCAGGAGGTTGGCAGTTCAAACCCACCAGCTATTCTGCAGAAAGAAGACTGGGCAATCTACTTCCGTAAAGATTTACTGCCTTGGAAGCCCAATGGGGGTCCTTATGAGTTGGAATCGACTCCATGGCAGTGGGTTTGGTTTTATTGTTTTGTTTTTATGGGGCCTTTATCAAACTTCCCTTCTACCCCAATCACTTGTTCTTTCTTTCTTTATTTTTATTTTTTTAACTTTTTATTGTAGTTTGGGTGAAAGTTTACAGAGCAGAGTTTTTTACATTTTGTTTCATGACATTGACTGCAGTCCCCTCAAGCACTCTTCCCACTTTCTCCTTGGGCTCCCCATTTCCATTCATCCTTCTTTTCCTGCCCCTTCCTGCCTTCTGAGCTTTGTTTTTGGGCAAATGCTGCCCTTTTGATCTCATATGGTTGGATTGTACTGAGGAATACATTCCTCCCTGGTGGTATTATTCACTTTAAAGACCTATTTGGCTGAAAGTTGATCCCTGGAGGTGGGTTCAGTTCTAGGCTTGAAAAGTATCTAAGGGCCACAGTCTCAGGGGTTTCACCAGTCCATATCAGACCAGAGTCTGATCTTTTTTATGATTTTGAATTTTGTTCTAATTTTTTTTTTTTTTTTTTATTCCTCTCTGTCTGGGACCTTCTATTGTGATCCTGATCAGAGCAGTTGGTAGCGGTAGCCGGGCACCATCTAGTTCTTCTGGTCACAGGATAGTGGAAGCTTGTGGCTAATGTGTCCATTAGTTCTTTGGACTGATTGCCAAGCACTTGTTCTTTTCCAAGGATATAAGCTTCTGTTTATAGAACAGAGAGGAGTTCCTGTGTTGTTTTCTAAAATTTGCTGGAAGGCCTGTTGTATTTTCAACTCTTTGGGATACTGTCTCATTTGAGCTTCTCTCATCCATGGCTTTCCTTCTGCCCCTCTTCCCCTCTTCCTCCTCCTCAGCCCAGCACCTACAGTTCTTCCATCAGTTCCCTGGCCCATTCTCAGGCCATCTCTGCCATGGGAGAGAAACACCACCAGCAAGGTTTCTAGGCCAGCTCTGCTGAAATACTTCTCATGAGATTTTCATTTGCCCTTAAAAGAGCTTCCAGACCCTTCTCAGTTTGGGCAGCTGAAGCTACTCTTTCTCCCTCTCTGAAGGGTTGTGTTCATTTTCTTGATTCTTTCTTGCCACCGTCTTCCAAGATAAATCATCCTCTCACCTTCCTCCCCTGAGGCACATAGCCATATGTGTGCTTTCTGCCCTCTTGCTGTGTCTGGGCCCTCATAGGTGAGAGTGCTTGTCCTTATCTCAACTCTGGGGAGCCATGGGGAGAAGATATTGCCCTCCATCAGTTTCTAATGCCTCTCCCATTACTTTGTTTTCCAGCTGCCCAAACTGGAATACCATAGACCCAGAGGTGAGGGAAAGGCTCACCAGACGGCATGAAGATGGAGAATTCTGGTAAAATTTGTAGAAGCTTCCAGGAAAGATGTGTCTGCCTATGTTTTTTCACTAGAAACTTGTTCAAAAAGGAGTGTGAACTGGAAATGAGATGATCCTGTTGAGGGCAGAGGGGCATGGGATCCTGGGGGGAGGGAAGGTGTGTACACATGTGTGTGTATACCTTTAATTCATTTCAGTGAATCCCTGTAGGACCTGAACAACAACAACAAAAACCTTAAATGTAATTGTTTCAATGTGTCCATCTGAGGAATTGGGTTTAAAAGCTGAGCAGCTTCACTAAGAAGGCTAAGAGGATTCCTGGGTTAATGTTCAGATCCCAAGAGAAAACAAGGGGCAAGGTGGAGTCTTTTTTCCTAACCTGTTCCTGGAGTGTCATCCCCACTCCTTAAGAAACTAGCCCCTTGTTGAGTAGTGATGCATGCACACGTCTGTGTGTCTGTGTCACTCTGAGGACCATCTACATCTGAACAGGTCCTGCAGTTTATCAGTTGAGTCACCACATATCACCCCATGAGTGCTCATGTCTCTCATCTTTGCAGATGAAAACTTTGAGCTTCAAAGAGGTCTAAGTAGTTTGTTCAAAGCCATGCAGCTAGAAAGTGACAGAGCTGGGATTAGAATTTGAGTCTCCTGATTCTGGCCTTGGTGCCCATTGGCCCTGAGGTACTGCCTCTTGGATGCCCTAACTGGCCTTTGGTGGAAGGTCAAGGCTTACCACTGTGTCCTCTTATAACCTTGGGATGACCCTATCTCTGCTTTTGCCAGGATGTCTTTTGGCGACTTCCTGAGGCACTATTCCCGTTTGGAGATCTGCAACCTGACCCCTGACACTCTCACCAGTGATTCCTACAAGAAGTGGAAACTCACCAAGATGGATGGGAACTGGAGGCGAGGCTCCACTGCAGGAGGCTGCAGGAACTACCCTAGTAAGGACTGTTGCCACACGGGCCGCAGAAGATCCCTGCAGCCTACACTGATGTGCTGCCCTCTAGCCTGGCAACCCAGAGGAGGTGGCTTCTCCTCACTAGCACCTTCTGTATTTCCTTCTTCCTGAACCTCAGTCTCACCACCCTTCTCTGTTTTCTCACCTCCATTACTTCTGTTAATTTGCCTCCTTACCTAGCAGAGCCCAAGACATGTCTTTTCCAGGCAACAAGCCCCCTGTGTCCACTGAGGCAGTGTCATGTCCATGACCTACTTCATGCACCCTGAGCCCAGGTGCCCTAGGCCTGCAGGGAACCTCCCTCACTGCACCCATAGGGCCCTCTGCACATTGTTGACATAGCCTCTGATCAGATGAGAATGGGGAGTTGTCCTCTGGCCCACCCTTTGTGGATACTTTTGACTCTTCTGCCTTGACAACTTGGTCTTCCCCTACCCTCTCTTCCTCAGAAATCTTCTAATCATGATGATATGACAATTATGGAGCACACATTGGGTTCTAGAAACTATCCTAAGTGCCTTATATATAGTATTCCATTTACTCTCTACAACAAACTTCTGAGGTAGGTACTTTATTATCACCTCCATCTTTAAAGATGCGGGAACTGAGGCTTGGAGAGGTTAAGTGACTTGCCCAAGGCCTCATACTTGATAAGCTGGGATTTGGACCCAGGCAGCCTGACTATAAAGTCCATTTTTAAAGTACTGTGATGGGAAGCTCATGGTCATATACTGATTCTCTGTTACAGATGAAGAGACTGAGGCTCTGAGTGGCTCACTGGGGTCACAAAGTGAGTGGTCAGTCGGAGACCAGCTGACTGGTGCCCCTGGGTCTGGTGCTCTTACCCCTTGACTTCAAGTCTGCCACCATCCCCTGGTGGTTTCAGAGGTGCAGAGATCTATACCCCCAGAAACATACATCCTTCTCAACCCACTAAATCAGGGTTGGCAAACTCTCATAAAGAGCCAGATGGTAAATATTTTCAGCTTTGTGAGCTATTCAGTCTGTACCTCAGTTACAGGCCATTCAGTTTCTTCTCCACTACTTAGCTCTACCATTGTAGCCTGAAAATAGCTGTAGACGATAGGTAAACCAATGTCCATGACTGTGTTCCAATAAAACTTTACTTAGAAAAACAGGCAGTAATCCATAGGGCTGATGTTTGCCAACCCCTGCATTAGATAATTCCTCAAAGTTTTATCCTATTAGGTAAGGGAAGGCATCAGTATAAATACCCTTAAACATGAATGAATCTCAGATCCTTCTTGTAAGTGAGTTTTGGAAGTGAGGAGGGCAGGGACATCAGGAGGATGGACAAGGGATAGGCCTGAGAAAACAAGAGACCTCAAACAAGAGGCAAAAACATCCACAAAAGGTTCCTGGCCTATGGACTCACTGAGGGGCTAGTGTGAAAGGCTGAAGATGGCCCCGGGCCTCCTCAGGCCAGGTCAGCCTAGCTGATCATCTCTGATCTTCCAGTTAAGAGCCCTGTGAGGGAAAGGTACCACTAGGGGGAGCCACAGCCGAGTCAAAGGAAATAGACCTTTCACACTTTAACCATACTGCCTTCCAGGGTGACACAAACAGTCCTCAAAACAAGTCAGCCTGAAGAAAAGAGAGAGACTGCAAGGAGGTCTCTCTACTTTAGATCCCGATGAGACTCAGACAAGCACAGGTCATTCCCTCTCAGCCTACCATCACCCCATTCCCACCCAGATGGCACTATCAACCAGTCCTTACCTCAACTGGTCCCACCATCTCCCCACATCTTTATCTGTCTTCCAGCAGACTCCAACCCTGAAAATCAGGGGCTCCCTCGGAGCTTTCCCTTCCCCACATGGTAGCTAATGGCCACCTCTTCCGACTCAGGGCTGGGCTCCTATGCCCTGGGTGACTGACCCCTCTCTGGCTGTAGATACATTCTGGATGAACCCTCAGTACTCAATCAAGCTAGAAGAGGAGGATGAAGATGAGGAGGATGGGGAGAGTGGCTGTACCTTCCTGGTGGGCCTGATCCAGAAGCACCGGCGGCGGCAGAGGAAGATGGGGGAGGACATGCACACCATCGGCTTTGGCATCTATGAGGTGGGCAGAAAACATTAGTCCATCTTAGTCTGAAAACTCCACTAAAAGCCATTCAGCATCATAGCAACACAGAAGCCTCCACTGACAGATGTCCTGGGGATTACACTCTTTAGAATGTCCTCCATGTCCGTTATTACATCCCAAGCCCTGGTCTTCGGGTTTACCCACCAGTCTCCCAAGAACAAGGAGACTTAAGCTGAGAACAGAGTGTCCTGGGAACTCTTGTGAGGACAAGAACTGAGCCAGTGGGTCCAGCTGGTCTGAGCCCAGCAGAATCATTGACCTGGAAGGTGGAGAGCTCAACGGATGGGAACAATCAGTCATTCTTCTCCCATAAGGACTCCATTGGCTGGGTCCTTTTGCCCCACACAGACACTCTCTCTGCCTTCAGGACCTTCTCTCATTCTGTACTAAGTTAAGAGAAGCGAGCCCTGTCCAGTACAGTCAGGGGAGCCATGTTATTGTCACCTCAGGCTAAGGGCTAGGCAGAGAGAACTGACCAAGATGCTGGGCCCTGCACCCTCCCCATTCCTCTCTTCATTACACAGAAGAGCTTGTACATCCTTGGTTAGCTGTAGGGGAAGAGGAGATCAAGGAAGACTTTGACGCAGCAGAAGTGGGGTACATGTTGGCTTGATGGGTGGCTTCTGAGAGATTCTCCTCTCAGCCCCATGTGCAGTGAGATCATGCTGGCAGCCTGAGAAACGACCGTGGTGGTAGTTTTTACACAACAGAAATTGGAAAGTACCACAAACCAGGGCTCCTGCCCTACCTGAGAGCCAGTTTACCCACCCCACTACCCACGTTTGTCATATTGAGTGTTAGGGAGAGACTCTCCATACACACCAACACTACCAGTAGGATATCAGTTCACTCACTTGAGAAAGGGGTTAGACAAGAGTTGGGCAAAAATCCACATAACTCTAAACCCCTTAGTCCCTGAAATAGATGCTGAGGACTGCAGCTCTGGGTCAGAATAGCTCCAAGGAAAATACAGACTGAAGTATGAGACACAAGCCCTCCTTTTCCCCAACCTGGCTTGAAAATCCAGTCACATACTTTCAGAGCTAGGAACGACCTGTGATCATTTGGTTCCATTTTGTTGTTGTTGTTGTTGTTGTTGTTGTTATGTGCTGTCGAGTCAGACCCGACCCATAGCAACCCCTCCTTGGGTTGCCAAGGCAGTATCACTACAGAAGTAGATTGCCCCATCTTCCTTCCATTTTAGAGATACGGAAACTGAGGCCAGAGAGGGAAAGTGATTTGCTTAAGGTAGTACAGGCTAGATGTGCAGAGACCTAGAATTGCCTCTCCTGTTGGTTCCTGCCCCATAGTGTATCCCCCTGGACTGCTGTTTCCTCTGACTGGGCTGCTTCCCCTGGGTGGGGCCAAAGTGTGGGCTTTGCTACAGCTGCTGGCTGACCTTAAGCAACAAGTTCACTGGCCATGTCATGCCTCAGTTTTATGCTCAATAAATTAAGAGTGGTAGTAAGGTAGTACCTGATAGTCATCCACATTATTACCAAGTCCTAAGAAGGTTATTGTTTTTTTTTTTTTTAATGTGGAAATGCTTTAAATTCCTTGAAAAATAATTTATTGTGCTGATTTAATTAATATTGCTAAAGCTACAGAGAAAAGGGCTTAGCAAAAGGGACAAAGTGATGGCATTTTTGTAAGCAGCTTTCTGAGTCTGCATTAAGTGTTACTCTCCTTTATCTTGGCAGGTTCCAGAGGAGGTACGTCTGACACGCCTTAGCTCCTGTCCATGGGGGCTCAGGTTCACCAGCAGATAAGAGGCTCAGGCTGCTGGAGTTGAAGAAGTATCATGAAGCTTTGGCAGGGGCTGGTGGCTGTGAAGAAGTCTTGTCCCCTCATGGTCCCTGGTGAGGTTGCTCAGATCCCATTGGTCTAAGTCCCAGTTGCCCGGCAGAGCCCACCTATGGTTTAGGTCTAGGTAGATAGCCCATGATCCCAGGACTGTAAGAGGCTCCTCTGGGAACCCTATGTAGCTCTGAAACCGAACCTGTCAGGAGGAGATAAACCCTGCAGACTATATTGCAAGACAGTATGGGAGTTCATGGGAAGACACATAAACCCAATTAATCCCCAGCTGTCTAATTTGTAGGCTATGTGTCCTTGAACAAGTTGCAAGTCCTCTCTGGACTTTAGGTTCTCTTTCAGTGAAACTGGGCAATCATCCCACTTCACCAGATTATTGTGGGGATTGAATAAATTGCATAAGAGTAGTTAATAGGCCACAATTTGTGTTCACTGAATCTGCTTAGATGCACAGGGGTGGTGGGTATCTTTACTAGTACCAGTTGACATCAGGTCACCTCTGACTCTTGTGACCCCATGTGTATCGGAGTAGAAATGTGCTCCATAGAGTGTTCAGGAGATCTCCTGGTCTTTCTTCCAAGGCATCTCTGAATGCACTCAAACCTCTAGCCTTTTAGTTAGCAGCCAAGCATGGTAACTGTTTACACCACCCAGGGACTCAGGCATATATCCTTGACGGTCACAAATATTACAAAGTAAAGACATGGCGGGGCACTCTAACAACCAGTGCTACGTGTCTTTCATAGCAAGGCAGTGAGACCAGTCACATACTGGGCTTTTTATGGTGCTGCTTGTCGATTGTGGCCCTGCTTGGATAGAACGCCCACATTGCTTTAGGTACTGAGCTGTCCTCTCGCCCCCCTGGTACTTTTGTTAGTGTGTCATGCAACCCATAGAACTGGACTAGAATTCCACCCTGTGGACACAAAACTTCCCTGAGATTCACTTCAAGAAGTCTGGGGAATGTCTTTTGGAAACTGGGGCATCTTTGCAGACTGAGCGGGTGACTGAGGAGTCCTCTGTGCGTATGCTTATGACTTCCTCAGTGGGCATTTGTCATGTTGGGCAGAAAGTGTGCTTTTTATCTCAAATGATCCAGACTTGGTCACTGTGATCCTGTGATCTTGACAAGAGAAAACGGTATTTATTTGGAGCCTTTCCCGCTCTCCTACAGCTTGTTTCTCTTTTTATTCATCAGTTCGTTGGACAGACCAACATCCACCTCAGCAAAAACTTCTTCCTGACACACAGAGCGCGGGAGCGGTCCGACACCTTTATCAACCTCCGGGAGGTGCTCAACCGCTTCAAGCTGCCTCCAGGAGAGTATATCCTGGTGCCATCCACGTTTGAGCCCAACAAGGACGGGGACTTCTGCATCCGAGTCTTTTCTGAAAAGAAAGCTGACTACCAGTAGGTGGTTTTGCCCCTTCCTCTCCCCACCCCTCCCATTCTGTCCTCTGGTTTGTTTCTTCTTACTCCTCTAAACATTCATTTCTTTATCTATAATCCTTGCCTGCTTCAAACAATGAGTGTGGGGATTTGGTATTGAAGGATTTTTAGGGTTATGCTCTGGGAAGGAAAGAAAAAAAACACTCAAACATATATAATATTGGGAAAGGGTGGTTGACTCATTGTAGAATGAATTGTTTTGTTTCCTTTCCTTCTAGCATTCCCTAGTGTCAATTTTTTTTTTTTTTTTTTTTTTTCTATTGTGATTTGGGTGAAAGTTTATAGGGCAATTTCATTTTCCATACAATAGTTCATACATTTTGTTTCATGACATTGACTGCAATCCCCACAATTTAGCAGTTCTCTTCCCATTTCCTCCCTGTAGTTAGCTCTTCCTTGTGTCCTTCTTTCCTATGCATTCCTGCCCCCTGAGCTGTCTCCCTGTGCAAATACTGCTCTTCTGATCTCCCGTGATTGATTGTTCTAAGGAGTGTATCTACCTGATGTAAATGTTCACCCCATATGCCTGTCTCTGTTGTTTGGCTGGAAGCCACAGGAGTGAGTTCAATTTCAGACCTGAAGGGTAACTAGAGGCCATAGTCTCAGGGTTTCACAGGCTTTATCAAACCAGTAAACCTGGTCCTTTTTTTTTTTTTTTGAGTTTTGTTTGTAGAACAAATTCTAGAACCTGATGTCATAATTGTGTCTCTGAGTTATCAAGCTGTTATTTTCATTTTGATGACCTATATTAGACTAGCTATGAACACAATTCCACCGTTTCGAGAAAGCTGGACTTGCTTTCCCAGCTCACTGACTGCAGAGAATCACCAAGGGTGTAAGTGACAATCTCAGTGGTCTATCTCCAGAACCTTTTCCCGTTGTAGTCATTAACGCTCCAGAGGCCTTTCTTCCTCATTGGATCCTAGCTGTTTGGGAATCTTTTCTGACTGGTATCACAGTTTCCTGCCACTGTCAGCATGGCCTCTGCTCCATTGCTTGATGACCTCAATTCAGAATGGATTCTGCCACTTTGGCTGCTGCCTCAGCTATAGATACTCAGTTTGGCACTTGACTACAAAAGACAGAATCAATCTAGGGTAACTTAAACAAAAGGAAATCATTGAAAGGCCATTTGGGACTCCAGAGTTAATGGGAAGCTGGGAGAAGGGCAGGAACCAAGGAAATGCAGGAGGGCGTGGGTGTGGAAAGTAGGAGACGTAGCAGCTACTGTGTCCCTTCCGTAGGGGCAGCGATGCTATCATAGAATTCTCCCCTTCCATGCAGGAGATGTGGATTCGATTCCCTGCCAGGGTACTTCGGTCAATGGAGGCTTATATTTCAATGATGCTGAACAGATTTCAGTCGAGCTTCCAGACTAAGTCAGACTAGGAAGAAAGGCCTGGTGATCAACTTCCAAAAATCAGCCAGTGAACACCTTGTGGACCACAACAGTCCAGTCAACAACTAATCGTGGGGATAGCATAGGACCAGGCTGCCTTACGTTCCACTGTGCACAAGGTCACCGTGAGTCAGAGGCCGACTCAACAGCAGCTCACTTCAGTATGTTCCCTCTGACCTTGTGCTGCTTGCTGAGATCCAGAGAACCAGTACGGTGTGTCTCATGGGCCAGGCTTAGGTCAGCCACTCAGCCTGCTGGTATCTATAGAGAGAGAAGGGCAGTGGAAGGTAGAAGCAAGAAATTACCCTAGGTCCAAGACAAAGCACGATAGAGAAATTAATTTCCCTGAGATGCTATTAAGGAGAGGAAACAGTGCTGGACAGCTGCAAACAATAAATGTCACTGCAGCCTTGCTGCAGCTTTCCTGTCACTGCTGGTTCTTTTGTGCGGCTTGCCCTGGGGGAGGGGCCTTCCCTCTAAGCTTACATCAGGAGCCTTTGGAAGAAGCCTGATATGTTCAGCTTAACTGTCCCTACTGTCCTGTGTCAAACACAGTACTGTCCCTCTGTGCCAGCCATAAACCAGGGAAGCCATGACCCTTTCAGCTCTCCTCCTTTCCAGGATGAGCGCCCTACCTTGATAGAGCAGCCCTGGACAAAGATACCTTACTTTCTTGTCTCAGGATATTAATCCTGTGTTATAGATTCCAACTATCAGCACCCAGAGGTCCCTTAAGCTTTCTTCTGTGAGCTGTTGGCACTGCAGAGAGGGGTCTTGGTAGCCTGGTTTAAGGTCCAAGGATTGTGCCTGGGGAGAAACTACCCGCTACCTTTGCTTTTACTGAAATTGCACATGGGCCCCTACGCTGCCTGCCCTCTCTAGCCGTAGGCAGAACAAGTTGGCAATTGGTTTACACTGTGTGGTTTTCAGTGTAAAAATTTTGCTGTGGTGGAGAGTGTTCCAAATGGAACGTAAAAGCTGTTCCTTGAAAGCAAGAATTGAGTGAGCTGTCTAGATTACCAGCACCATGTAACTACATGGGAAGATTATGCCCTAAACTGGCAAAAAACCAAAATCTCCAACTTTACAAGTTGTTTTGGCCTGAAAACTCCCTTGGATCATTTTTTGCCTTAATTTTTGCTAGTTAGGAGAAGTGTTGCTATAGAAACTTAGGATGCAGAGTACTTCCCCACCCCCACCCCCACCCCCACCCCCACCCCCTGCTGGATGTTAACTGCACTTCCATCTCTGCAAGGATATCATCTGCAACACTTCCTTCCCTCCCTAGCCTCCCTTCCACTAACATGTCATTTCCTTCTATTTCCAGAGTTGTTGATGATGAAATTGAGGCCGACCTTGAAGAGGTACTTATAACTCCTTGGATTCCATCTACTCTGGCATGGATAACCTAGAGATCAGAGGGGCCAAAAACAATTCCAAGGGCTTACAGGAGCCCCTCGGACTTTGTGAACACAGCTTGGAACCAAGGATGCAGCTTTTGCCCTGGGGATCAGCATCTACTTCCTGCACTGGCTCTGGCCACTGTCCCTTGCCCATGGAAGCAGTTAACCCATGTGCATATGAGGGGACATTGAGGATGAGATGTCAGTGCTGCATGAAGGGCTAGATGAATGAGGTTCTTGTTATTCCCCTTTCTGGGCCCCAGTTTTCTCACCTATAAAATGAAAGCTGGAGGTTATGATTTATCAGATTCCCTAAGGTTTCAAAAGTTGGGATTCAGTGATCAATCCTAAAGGGCGTTTAGGGATACAACTCAGAAACTTCAAACTAGACCCAACCCTTACACATCCAAAGTCAAGGGAAGAAAGCACCACATGCTGAGGCCGAGGGATTACATGTGAGCCTTCTCCTCCCTCTGTCATAGGGCCTGAGGGGCTAGATAACTCTGGTGGTTAAGTTTGTGTGTCACCTTGGCTGGGCCTGGCTGAGTGGCTGGGCAACTGGTGGTAGTTGTTCTCATGATGAGACTGGCAATCAGCTCCATGGATCTACCACAAACAGCTGAGTAGCTGCTTTAGGAATGTGGTCTGCTTCCCGTATATAAGAAGCAGCTTTGGGAATGGTCTCTAGCTTGAACCCTGCATGTAGCTGAGTTGTTCCGCATCCTGCCATGCTCTGCCGTCCTTGGGACTTACAGTGGATTTGAATTCATGGCCTGCCGTGTGGTTTGGTAACATCAGGACTGTGCCTTTGTACTTGTCAAATTTGGGCTTGTCAGCCTCAGCAGCCAACAGCTGTCCGAGTGAAGAAAAGCCTCTAGCTTCAGTGGGCTGGGAACAGGAGGCAGAGCTGAAGCCCAAGGTTGAGGGGCTGTAACCCAGCCCCTACAGCCCAGCACTTTGAACTTGGACTTAAAGCCTCCAAATTGTAAGAACAAACTCTTATTTGTTAAGGTCATCCCATTTGTGGTTATTCTTGTCAGAGTGGCACAGAGGTAGCCAGAACAATAACACTTACTTTTTAGTTGCAGAAGCTCTGTGTGCATATCATGCAGATTGAGTGAGAGGCTGAATGATTCAAAGGGTCCCATGGGCTGTGCTTACTTCTGTCACAATTCTTCCAGAACACTCTAGTGAGGCTTTAAGTACCAAATAGAGCAAATTGTAAAAGGCAGTCTGGGTTGGATGTTAGATATCTGTTGTGAGAAATTAGAGTATGACTCCTTCCTGCATTGTTTATGTTCCCTCTTGTATGTTTTAACTAGAAAAATATTCTATTATTAATTCATCACACAGTCCTTTAAATCAGTCCCAGTAACCTTAGAATGTAGGCCCAAGAGAATCTACAAAGGGAGAGATGGAGAAGGGGAACCATGAGGGAAGAGGAGGCCACTGTGGCAGAGAGAGCCAAAAGCTTGCTCTCTTTATTCATTCTAAGCCATTGTTTCTTATTTCCCTGCTTCATCCTCCAGATTGACATCAGTGAGGACGACATTGATGATGGATTCAGGAAGCTGTTTGCCCAGCTGGCAGGGGAGGTAGGTGTTCCATAAAACTCTACATTACACACTCTGGTTGATGCAAAGTAAAGATAGTCATTGTCCTCAAGGAGACATCAGTTTAAACGAAATGAATAAAAGCAAAGAGGAATTACAAACGTAACTCAGATTTCAACTCAAACTCCTAGCCCATGTCCTCCCCATGACCTCTGCACGTGGCCAGGGCGTCCACTGTCATGGTCAGCTCTGGCTCTGATTCCTCCTTCTGTGGAATTCTTGGTCTCACTTTGTGGCTGTTTATTTTCTCTGCTCTGTGCCAATGAGACATGGAACTCAGCCCTTTATCCTTGATTTCCATAAAAGCAAACTAATTGTGGATCACCATCTAAGGGACCACAAGAATGCAAACAATTTAAACAGAATTATATATTCCTATTCTTCAAAAATCCATCACCCATTTAGACTGCAGCCCCTGCAGTTATTCAGCCCTCTTCTCAACAACCACAAAAATAGTAATAATAATAATACTTCATTATACAGAGAATTTAAAATTTTACTCTCTCAAGCATCCACCATCAAACTGATGAGAGCCTCCCTTTGTTTAGCCAGAGACTCATGGATGTGCTAAGCCATTTGCTCCACATTGCCACCTGCTTTCCTTCCCCTCCCCCTAGTTTCTTAAATGAAAGGGCATTGTAAAGATGTATGTCCCTCACTAATATGAATTATGTACACATACCTCTCAAAAACAGCACAAATGACTACAAATCAATCTTGGTTTTAAACAGTGGAGTTTGTTCCTCATTTTCAAAACTGCATAAGTGAATAGAGACACCTGAGCCTGTTCTGAGGATCCATCACATAATGGGCTACAGATGGGGCAGGGCCAGTTCTTGGAGGCATCCAGTTCTACAGGAAGCCTGAGCTCTGAGCTTTAGAAGATGAAGAAGGCTTGCCAGATGGGAGGGATGGAGTGAGAGAACTAAGTCAAAAATCACAAATAGGAGAGGAGTGGAAAAATTATTCTTTATATTCCCTAAAGCAAAGAAATGTTGGATGAACCCCACCTAGTACCCACTGTGCACGGACACAGATGAACAGTCTGTGGCAGTGCCCCTCAGAGTGTGGTCTGAGGACAGCATGTCCACATCACTGGGGGCTCGTTAGCAATGCAGATTCATAGACCCTCTCCTCCAGACCCAGCTACTGGCCCTGGCCCGGGGCCTACACAGGGCAAGTAGCCTCAAGCTCGCACAGGGTGGTAACTGCTCTGGTTGCATGTCCACAGGATGCCGAGATTTCTGCCTTTGAGTTGCAGACCATCCTGAGAAGAGTTTTAGCAAAGCGTAAGTATCCCCTTGTTGGCAGTCCCCTCCTGCTCCTTGTGGGTGGGAAGGGACATGAGAATCCTTCCTCTTCCACATAGTAGCTGCTGTGGCTGAATCCATCACCCCTTATATATGTATCACACCGTCACCAGTGAATTTCAAGAGGGAAGTTCCTGAGTGATGCGATAAAAAAAACAAAAAGGAACAAAGGTCTCCAGAATCTAGAGCTCACAGATCAAATCTGATTCTACAACTTGTGATTTAAACCAAAGTGATAGAACTTCTCAGACCTATTTTCTTATCTGTAAAATAGACAATTACTACTTACCTCATAGAGTGGTTGAAAGTCTTACACAAAGTAATGGGGAAATTGCCTAGCACAACGCCTGTGCTCGCTTGGTAAACAGCAGCTGTTACAGTGACTAACCAAACCAAACCAAACCCACTGCCATCAAGTCATTTCTGACTCCTAGCAATCCCCATTGGGTTTCCGAGGCAGTAAATCTTTACAGAAGTAGATTGCCTGGTCTTCCTTCCATAGAGTGGCTGGTGGTTTGAACCACCAACCTTATGGTTAGCAGCCAAATGCTCATGCAGTTAAATAACTAGTTGCTGAGAAAAGCTGAATCAGCCCAGGTAATGGGAGCCAGACAACATCCCTGCATTCCCTGGCTGTGTTTAGTGGAGAATCACTGGTATAGCAGTGACATCTCACTGCTTAGCCAGAATGGAAAAAGAAATAGATCAGCTTAACTTATGCTCAAACTAGGGGTGAAAAAGTCTCACCTCCCAAGTGTGTGCTTATGAGTCTGGTCTGACTAACTCAGGCTGGCTGTGGGCTTCTGCAAAGAATGAATAAAACTGAATACAGACTTGAGAAATTAGCTAGACTATAAAACTGGCACATTGGCATCTGACCTTCTCTAACTTGACAAGGGGAGACAATCATCTTCACCATCAGCCCAAGGCTGAGTCCTATGAGGCAGAAGTCAGACGTACCTCCTTCCTCCAACCTTTTTATTCTGAAACCAGTCATCCCTCCCATGCACAGCACTCTCTATTCCTCTGCTGGGTTTGATAATTAAATGCAATAGCCATACAGAGCTCACAGATTATAGTCACAGTCACAGAATTCATTAGGGAAGTAACAGGTTATAATTCATGATCAGCAAGGACTCAGGATGCAGTTCTGTGATTAGGACATCCCTTCTCAGCCATGCCTACAGGCAGGCCTCACCCTGGCCCTGCTTAGGCAAGTGTTACAAAGCTCTGTAGCTCTGCCAGTAAGTGCTCCGCTCCTCCAGTAAGCCCAAAGGCACTTAGCTCTCTCGCTTCATGGGTTGGCATGCCCACTGTACTCACCTTACTCGGTAGGCAGGAAAGCCCACTGTGCACCATCTCATGCTGGTCTCCCAGTGCTGCTGCTGCCGTTTCTCTGCCACGCTCACTGCCACTTTTCATCATCTTGTGCTTCTCATGATCTCATGCCTTCCCCAGTGTTACTGCTCTCTCTGTCTCCAAGTTCTAGGAGGTTCTCAATACAGGGATCCTGGGTCCAAAGGATGCACTTTGCTCCTAGCTCTTCTTTCTTGATGGTAGTGAAGTGCCCCTCTGCTCTGGAATTGGCTTTATTTTTAAGCTTAGCAGGATGATAAAACTGACCAAACCTCTTGTTAGTGTTCCGTGTACACCTTATTTGCACAGCCCCACCCCATATGGGTTCCATGCACCTTATTTGCATTAGCAGCAAGCTGTCCAAATCCTCTTGATGGACCACAGCAAGTTATTCACATAATCTTACCCAATACATTGTGTGTGAGTCACAAAGACTATGGCTAGAAGGTCCATATTAAGTAAGTCACTGCACCAAATAGATTCATGGTTCTCACAAACCTTTACAGCCTCTAACTATTTCTTATGCAAAAAAAAAAAAAAAATCAAAGGATTAATTTTTTAACCCTTTCATCACCACTTGGGGGGGCAGGAGGAAAAATATGTATATGCTCATATATATATATATATATGCTCATATATATATATATATATATATATATATATATATACACACACACACACACACACACACACACACACACATATATATATATATATATATATATATAAATTATATATATATATATAATATATAGTGTAAGTGTGTTTGTATATATTGTTAGTTGCCATTGAGTCAACTCTGATTCATTGTGACCCCATGTATAATAAAACACATGTTGCCCAGTCCTGGAACATCTTCATAGTTAGTATGCTTGAGTCCAATGTTGTAACCACTGTTTATTTTGAATGCCTTGCAACCTGGGGGTTCATTTTCCAGCACTATATTGGACAGTATTCTCTTGGAATCCATAGGGTTTTCATTGGCTGATTTTTGGAGGTAGATCACCAGGCCTTTCTACCTAGTCTATTTTAGAAACCTGTTCACCATGGATGACCCTGCTGGTATTTGAAATACTGGGGCATAGCTACAAGCATTGCAGCAACATACATTATGAGCACATTACAACCAACTGACAGATGGGTGATAAATGTATATATATATATCTTCTCCTCTAATTATTACAACTATTGTGCTGCTTCCAATTAGCAGGACTTTATACACTGTCAGAAGTAAGTTATAAATCTGGACCAGAAACAAAAGTATAAGTTGTCGTATCCTGAATGTTAGCCCTGTGGGTCATCTGGAGAAGTCTTACAGACTTCAAGGGAATCCTCTGATAAAAGAGAAGATGGCCTTTAGTAACCCAACAAGATAAAAAATAACTCCACTTTTTAGAGCCACAGAGGGGTCAGGGCCCATGTGGGTCTTCCATTCCAGTGTACATGAATGACAGATGCCTCACAAAATCCATAGGTCCCTGCCCTGTGGGTTCCACAATCAACACCAATGGAAGCAGCAGTCAAGACATCAGATGACACATTGCACTGGGAAAATCTGGTGCAAAAGATCTCTTTAAAGTGCTGAACAGCAGAGATGTCTCTTTGAAGACCAAGGTGTGTATAACCCAAGCTATGGGGTTTTCAGTCACCTCATATGCATGTGAAAGGTGGACAGTGAACGAGAAGGACCAAAGAAAAGTTGATGCTTTTGTGTTGTCCTGGTGAAGAATCTTGAAACTACCCTGGACTGACAGAAGAATGAATAAATCTGTCCTGGGAGAAGTGCGGCCGCAGCCGGAATGCTCCTTGGAAGCAAGAATGGCCAGACTTTGTCTCACCTGCTGTGGTTAGGAGCTCTGGTAGCATAGTGCCTAAGGCACTTGACTGCTAACCAGAAGGCTGGTGGTTCAAACCCACCAGCCACTCCTCGGAAGGAAGGTTGGGCAATCTACTTCCATAGTGATACTGCCTCAGAAACCCAAGGTGGGGTTGCTATGAGTCGGGTGCGACTCGACGGCACATAACAACAGCTGTGGTCATGTTGTCAGAAGGGACCATTCCCTGGAGAAGGATATCATGCTTGGTAAAGTGAAGGGTCAGTGAAAAAGGGGAAGGCCCTCATAAGATGGATTGACACAGTGGCTGCAACAGTGGGCTCAGGTATAACAAGGATTGTGAGGATGATGCAGGACGGGGCAGTGTTTCATTCTGTTGTACATAGGGTTGCTATGAGTTGGAGCCAACTCTGTGACACCTAACATACACACACACATGCACACACATGTACACTGCCCTGTGCTGCCCAACAAATGGCTATATGAGAGCTTTGTAAGGCACAGAGCTCTTAGCAGGACCCCACACAGCAAGGAAGGGCTGAAAGGGCCAGAGCACAGCTAGTCCAATGCACAGTTCTCCAAGAAGGCATGGTCCTCCCCCTCCCTCCATGACTTGGGAAAGGGTAACAAGATGGTGTTTACCCTTGAGGCCACCAGGCACAAGTGAGGTCACAGGGCTCTTCAGATGTGTGGTAGTCATGAGCCTGGGAGACTGAAGACTCATTGTTTCTCCACAGATGGAGGGGAACGGGAGGGGGGAATCAGACCATGCTTGCCTTGTTGGGGGAGACTCCCCGACACACATGCCTCGGAGCTCAGCTCACCTCCCCCAGCTCCCCGGTGACTCTGGCCTTGCTGAAGGGCCCACACTTAGTTTCTGGCTGTAATTCCAAGGAATACCATGCCCACACCCAAGAAGGATTTGCTGCTCAGAATGGCAGCTGTGAGGCTTGTGTCCCTAAGTCAGCTGCAGGAGGATGTAGCATGGTAGTTGCCCTGACAGGTCACTTTCCACAAGAACATGACAAAAGTGTAGGCACCTCAGGAAGCCTGTGGGGAACCAACTACTCACTAGACAGGATTCGCACAGCAGCTCACGGACAGCATCCTGGTCATCAGGTTTCTCAATCAACTGGGTCATGCAGACCTTCCATACATACCTGCAGTGTAGGCTGACAGTTCTAGTCAGACTTTCCCCCTCACAGGTCAGAGCCTAACATGAACACACATGCCCTCTGGTTTCCTCTTCTATGCCTGACAACTGCAGGTGACTCGCACTCTGTTAGCATATAGATCCCTGGGTGGTGTAGAAGGAGCTCTGGTGGTACAGTGGCTAAAGCATTTGGCCGCTAAACAGAAGGTTGGCTGTTTGAACCCACAATCTGCTACATGGGAAAAAGACAAGTAGTCTGCTTCTATAAGATCTACTGCCTTGGAAACCCTATGTGGCAGTTCTACTCTGTCCTATAGGGTTGCTATCAGAACTGACTCAATGGCAGTAGGTTTTTTTGGTCTTGGTTTGGGTGGTACAAAACTGTTCATGGGCTCAGCTGCTAATTAAAAGGTTGGCAGTTTGAGTCCACCCAGAGGTGCCTCGGGGAAGGCCTGGTGATCTATTTCCGAAAAATTCAGCCACTGAAAACCATATGGAGCACTGTTCAGCTCTGACACACGAGGTCACCGTGCATCAGATTCGACTTGATGGCTAGTGTAGCACATAGAGGCCTAGTCATTTATCATCCTTTTACTTATTTAAAAAGCACTTATTACAATTCTTTGTCCATGGCAGATAGAGAAGTCAGACAAATGTAACACATGCCCCACACTGTCCTAACATGGTTATCGCTAGACATATGTGGCTATTTAAAATAATTAAAATTAACTAAAATTAAAAGCCATGTTTTAAATACTCAGCAGCCACATGCTCGACAGTGCAGATATAAAACATTTCCACTATCACAGAAAGTTCTGTTGGACAGTGCTGCTCTAGAAGGTTTTCCTTTCATATTTGTTCTGTCTTCTAGGCCAAGATATCAAGTCAGATGGCTTCAGCATCGAGACTTGCAAAATCATGGTCGACATGTTAGATGTATCCTTTCATGTGCTCCAGCGAACAGAGAGGGGGGTGAAAGCCCACTCTGAAACGGTCTGCACACGCTGCCTTCGCTCTGTTCAGGATGGTCCACTCTGCTCCACTTGCTGAGCTGTGGGGCTGTTGTCAGTACTGGTTTCTGTTACAAGGGAAACATGAAAAACCCCAGCCAGGGCAAAGAGAAATGCCACATCCACTGCTGCGTAGACTCAGACTGCAGGAAATCCCCTACAGCATGGCCACTGTTTCTGCCAGAACTGCTTGGAGTTGTTTTCTGAGTGGCAGTGTTCCCTCTGCTTTCCTAGGAAAACATCCCCTAAACCGTATTATTTCTGATGTGACCTGTTTTTTTCAGTCATAATTTCCTTCTTGGTTTTTAGATAACGGCCCCTACAAAGCAGGAGTGTGTTCTTTCCCCTTTGCTCTAACTCCCTCCCAGGACCCTACAACACTCCACCCGCGGGCCCCTAAGGCAGCTAACTGCCCTCAGCCCTCTTGTTTCTGATGCTTGATGAGCAGTTAGGGTAAGGGGCAGTCTGAGCCTTTTGGAAGTTTTATCTAGTAGTGGATTCATGGCAGGTACCACTGTGCTGCTCCCCTCACACAAGACCTCTTGGAAATACTCCCAAAGATGGCAAGGGCCCACCCATTAGAAGCCATCCAAAGCACTCTGCATACCAGCTCATTTTAGCAGCAACCCCCAGCGTCCCTGCACCAAAACAGCAACCTGAGTCAGCAGAGAGCTGGCACATCTCTCTCACCCTTCCTCCAAGCCACTTGATAAGTACTGATCAATGTGAAAAGCCAGCAGAGTCCTTCTGAAAAGTGTCCTTGTGACTGTGCTGTGATTAATAGGATTTATCCAGTTGAGAGGACAAGCCAAGTGCCACTGCCTAAATGAGCCCAGACTCAAGTTTTCCTTAACTGAAGGCAGTCGGATGGGAGTGGTAAGCTAGGGCTGAAGGAGTTCTACATTCTCTGGACAAAGATTCAAAAATACCAAGTAAGGTCCCAGAGGGCCAGATGGGAGGGCTGGGGTTCTGTGTCAGGGAATGTGCTGCAGAAATTTTAAGTTCTTCAGGAGGGTGGAGCTCGGACTGAGTAAAGTTGGGGCTGGGTAACCACAGTCAGTCACCTAGAAAAACCCAGGGACTCTGCATGTTAAGCGGTCCCTCCTCTGCCCCATCTCATTATTTCCCAGAAATGGGGACATCTAAAAGCCACCACCAAGGACTGAAAAAGCTATGGGGCCCCTTGTAACTTGGACTTTTGACAGCTCAAGTACAAAAACTAACTGAGGATGATAGCATGGACCCAGGGTACATGGCTAGTTGGGTGAGAAGCACAGAATGTTGAGGATTTTGTGAGAGGCAGTCTGCTGAGCCTGCTTACCAAGATAGTAGAATGAAACTGGCCCCAAGAAACCCACAAATTATTCTTAAGCTTTCTCAGACATATTTACAGCCCAGTTCATCAAAACCCAACCTATTACCATTGAGTTGATTCCAACTCATAGCGACCCTATAGGACAGAGTAGAATTGCCCTATAAGGTTTCCAAGGCCATAATCTTCATACAAGCAGACTGCCTCATCTTTCTCCCACAGAGCAGCTGGTGGGTTCAAACCAACAGACCTTTCTATTGCATCTGAATGCTTTAATCACTGTGCCACCAGGGCTTCTCTACCTAGCTCACAGAGAAGGGCAAAGTCTATTAGCTAGGCAAGGCAAAACCATGGGTGAGTCTCTCAAGGGTAAACTACAAAGTCCAGAACTGGAAATACTTTTTCCCCATTCTATTTTACTTTGGGTCATGGTTCTTCTAACTGTTTTGCATGTTTCAGAAAATATACCGGGAAATCGACGTTGACAGGTCTGGCACCATGAATTCATATGAGATGCGGAAAGCGTTAGAAGAAGCAGGTAACACTTCATAACGATTGCCTTCTCTTTATTTGTAAGATAAGTGGAGACTTAGCCTATACAATATAAAGTTTGGTAAGCTATAAAGTAAAGTGGTGTGGCTTGATACAGGTATCTTTTTCACTCTCCTTTCAAGGAGTCCTTGGTAAAATAAATGCAGTCCAGGATGCTCTGCTCTCTATTGCCACCTTCTTGAATCTTTCCAAGCAGTCTGACAGGTCAGGCAGGCAAAGCTAGCTCTCAACAGACTACCCCAAAGTTCTCCTTTCAAGTATAGGGTTGGTTGGGAAAGAAATGTCTCCGTCCAACCCTTACATACATCCCTAACAGAAACAGAGATCAATAAAGAGCACACACACAAGCTTATGGTACCAACAGAGTAGGGGGAGACTTTGGAGACTACAACCGTGAAAACATGAAGTTGTTCACTGGATTAGCTGGGACATAATGCTATAGCAGAGACTCCAAATACAGTGGTTTAATAAGATACATTTTCTCTCATAACAATCCAACCAGCCTCCATGCTGTCAGGGGCCTAGGCTCCTTCTGTCCTATTGCCTCATCACCCCTAAGAGTGTCACTTTCATCCACAAGACCCAGGATGGCTCACCACCCCAGCCACATCAGGGTGATGGAAGAAGGGAAAGGACAGGTTCCTTGTCCTAAAGACACACATCACTTCTGCTCACATGCCCCTGGCCAGACCTTTGTCCAAAGCTGCAAAGGCTTCAAGGGGAGCTGGAAAATGAAGTCTTTATTCTTGGCAGCCATGGGCCCACTGCAAATTCTTCTATTATGGAAAAGAGGAGAACAGTTTCTGCCACATCCATCCAAGAAGGATCTAATCTCCAAGATGATTCTGAGCCAAACAAAACAAAGGAAGCATGGTGAACAGCATGAAACAGCATGGGCTTTGTAAATAGGAACAAGCAAGAAAAGTCTTGGGGAACAGGTTTGACCAAAGCAAAGAGGAGCAGCAGCTAAGGAAACAGGAGGCAGAAGGAAAAAGCAGGGTGAGGGTGAACAGGGAAAAGAAAATAGCAGAAGATAACTGGCTTTGCAAAACAAAACGAGCCAAGCATAGCAGCCAAGCAGACAAAAGCAATTACAATTTTAATTTAAATTAGAATCATTTCCATAACCCGTGAACAGAGCTACATGGCACAATCTCCTATCTAGCAGTCACTTTGTCTGTTCATTGTAACTTTAGGTTTCAAGTTACCCTGTCAACTCCATCAAGTCATCGTGGCTCGATTTGCAGATGACCAGCTCATTATTGATTTTGACAATTTTGTTCGGTGTTTAGTTCGACTGGAGACGCTATTCAGTAAGTGGAGATAAGGGGAAAAACCCATTTCCGGCCTCTCAGTATTAATGCTGCCTGCCTTTCACCACAGTGCAGTCATCTGAGCCGGAGACGTGGCAATCTGGGAGTGAAAAATGACATTCCCTCTTTATTAATTTGGGGTGGAAGGAAGAAATAATAGCTTGTGACATTCAGTGAAATCACCTGCCAAATTAGAGGAAGAGGGTGTGACTAGTTTCAGCCAATGCATTTATGATATCCTCTTCTTCTCCCTTTACAGAGATATTCAAGCAGCTGGATCCCGAGAACACTGGGACAATAGAGCTCAACCTTATCTCTGTAAGTCCAGCAGCCTCACACCCTGTCCATCAGCCACCTCACTCCCAGTAGAAGAGAGTAGCTGTAATATGAGTGACAGAGACCTATGGCTCGTTGACTGGGTTTTTAAAATTCCACTTTGAAGGCTTTTGGTCTGCCAGGACTAGGCCTATGAAGGGTTCTATGATCCCACAGTGCACTTTTACTTACAGTGGTTTCCCAACTACCTGTTGATTCTCGAGTCCAAGAAAACACACCTGCTTCCTCATCCTGTGAGCTTTGAGTTGAGAGCAAGGTTAAAATAAGAAGATGATTACTGCTAGAAAAACAACAGCTAATTAGCATGCATGAGAGAAGGTGTTTATAAAAAAACCCTTGGATGAAATTCAACTTGGGTTTTGGAGAGACCTATCATTCTTAGAACTGATCTACTTAAAATACTTTCTGAGCAAACTGCTTTGCTCTACTTCCTTCCCCTTTGGAATAAAACTAACAATAGAAAGGAAGTTTGCCATATATAATTATCTTCCTCATGTGTCTGGAACCCCAGGCATACTCATCTCTGAAATTATCATCCATCCAAATTGAGTTGGTATACCAGTTTTGTAGAAAGCAAAGTACAATGAGATGACAGAACAGTCAACTTCACAAGAAAGAAGCCAGGTGAGGTAGACTTTCCCTGTCACCTGGCTCCTGTCTATCTCTCCTCCACACTTGGCAGGACCTGAGCTTACAGCAGCACAGAGCACAGGCTTCAAAGTGGCCAGCACTGAATGGGAATGGCAAAGTAATCAGTCCCATCCCACCCAATGTAACACAGAGAGAGAGTGAGAGAGAAGAGCAAGGTGGTAAAAGGGACAGGTCTAGGGGACTGGCAACTCTCTTCCTTGACTTTTGAACTTGGGAGGAAGCTAGCAACTAAAGTGTTTCACTCTGCTGTTAGGCAGTGCCTTCAGCCAACTGAAAATGTATCCTAACTGGTTACAGTTAACAGCTTGCTTAAAGCCATATGAAGCTTAGGAAATAACCCTGCCTTCAGATTGTAACCTCAAATAGAGTTAATATAGTTGTGAATATACCTATGTTAAATTCTGGAAACTCTAACCTATCATTCCTGCTGGATATCCTATTCCCTCAGGTCCCACCTCTGTCTACATTGGCCCACCAACTTAGTCCACTACCACCCCATTTCCACTGAGCCATCTAGTCTTCTGGCTTTCTCTCCTGTTTCTAAGCCTCACCCACCAGGTTCCTGAAGGTTCCACCATCTGGTTGTTTTTGCCAAGCAGATCACACAGTGTGCAGAGGCTTTGGCCTTGTACACTTTAAATCACCTAGGAACTTTCAAAAACTCCTGATGCCCAAGCCCTGTCCAAGATCAATTAAATCAGAAGTGATTTAAAGTTCCCTAGGCCATTCCAAGGTAGAACCAACATTAACAACCACTGGTTTAAGGCTGTTCACACCTCAAGTAAACTTTTTTTTTTTTTTACTTTTTTATACAGCTTTATTGAAGTGTGATCGATACACATATATTTAAGATATATAATCTATGTTGGGGCACATGTACACACCTTAAAGCCATATTCAAGATAATGAAAACATCTGTGACCCCCACGTTTCCTACTGATGCTTTATAATCCCTCCTTTCCTGTACTTCTTCCCCAGGCAGTTAATCACTGAACTGCTTTCTGTCACTACAGATTAGCTTGAAATTGCCAGTTTTTATCATTGGGATCATACATTATGCACTCTTATTTGCTTAGCTCTTTTCACCCAGCCTAATTATTTTGAGATTTGAGACTCATCATGTCGGTGCAGATGCAGATATATAGTTTTGTGTTTAAGTGTGTGTGTGTGTGTGTGTGTATATATATATATTTTTAATAGTATCTTATTGTGTTTTCAGCAAAGGTTTCCATAGCAGTTTAGGTCCCCATTCAACAATTGCCACACAAGTTGTTCAGTGACACTGGTTACATTCTTCTCAATGTGTGAATATTCTCATTATTTCCATCTGATTTTTTCCCATTTCCATTGATTATCTTCCCTACCCCCTTACACTCTTTGTTTTAAAGAAATTGTTGACCATTTGGTCTCATATGGGCCATTTTTTTTTTTTAAGGAGCACAGTTGTTAACATATATTAACGTTGTTGTTATTGATGTTGTTGTGTGCCATTGAGTCAGACCCAACTCATAGCGACCTCTCCTTGGGTTTCCGAGTAAACTTTCGATGTGTCTGCTCTAAGGAAGAGTGAAAATGCTCATGTATGCACTGTCTGAAGTTCAGGCTTCATGTCTTCAGTCAGTCCTGTAAAATGATTTGTGATCACCTAATGTAAACAACACACAGATGAATGACCTGCTGGAAATTAGGTAGGAAAAAAATGTGACTTTGTGCACTGATATTTAGCATTTGATCAGTTTTTTTTTTCTGGCATGTAATTCGGGCTTTCAGAATAATAGGCAAGAATTAAAAAAAGTGGTCACTGAGCTGACTTGAAGGGAGCCCTGGTGGTGCAGTGGTTAAGCAAGCACTCAGCTGCTAACCAAAAGGTCAACGGTTTGAACCTACCAGCCGCTTAACAAGGAGAAAGATGAGGCAGTGTGCTTCCTTGGAAACCCTAGGGGGCAGTTCTACTCTGTCCTCTAAGGGTCACTATGAGTCAGAATCGACTCCACATCAGTGGGTTGTTTTTTTGTTTCGTAACAGACTTGTCTTTTTCTTCCTCACAGTGGCTCTGTTTTTCAGTACTCTGAAGTAAAACTCACCTGCCTGGAGACTTTTCAAGAAAAGAAAAACCAAGGACTGTGCTTCCACAGAGAAATACTTTTTATCTGGACCTTGACATTATGGGAACATTTACTTAAACTGATTATTATAGCTGCAAATAATGATACTATCTGAGATAGCAGAACTTTCAGATATCAAAGTGAAAAATCTACATAGCAATATAGTAAATGCGAAAGTCACGTAACCCTGGCTAAGCTTTAAAGCTGTAAATAGTATATACACTTTTTACTTTGACACAGTTTCTGTTGATAGCAATATTAAATCCAGAAAAACTGCAGGGAGGTATTTAACAGCTGAGCAAACATTATGTCAGTCTTAAGGGACACAAGGCCCTTGCTGTGAATATTTAAAGGAATTTTAATTTTTAAAATGCAGCTGTGGCATGTACCAAATAGCAGCCCAGGGATTGGCTACTTCCCTTGAGCAAAATGGGAAAAATGACACATCAGGAAACAATCTTGTCAAGGCATTGAGACTGTCCAGGTGAGAAATCTCACCTATGTCATTCAGGTTAAACAGGAGGCAGGTTTTATATAATATCGACTGGTAACAGTAACCGTTCTTCTTATATGCAAGTCCTTGAGCTTATTTGGTCTTCCACTTTTATACATACTGAAGGGGCTCCAGTCTAGATCAGCTGAGGCTGCACGTCAAAATCAGGTGTCTGGTTTGCAAACCCGTTGTGATGAAGTCCCAAACGCTGTTTACAGCCTTAAAACTTCAAACTTTATCACCTCTAGTTTTTGGTGTTTATGCATGGGGACTCATGTAGGGGTTCCTGTGGAAACACCAGAAGCTGGTTTCCTGGCTTTACCTTGGGAAAATGCTAGCAATGTTAGAAAAACATTACCTTGTTGCCTTATCTTCTTCCAAATGTATTGTTAAATAAAGAGCCCTGTGCGATCACACCAGGCTGTGTGTTCCTTCCTGGAGAGGTCTCTGTGGGATGGTTTACGAGCACACACAGTGATACCTCTGCAGATTCACACTGAGAGGAAAGAGCATCTCACCGATAGTTAAAATGTGGAACTATAGCATTTTTAAAAGTCCAATTCACAGGGTCTGATAATCTGAGTATAAAGGAAGCTCAGCTCTTATTTTACTGCTTGAGGTCTCCTCAGGAAACCTGAGCACACATGGGCACGCCTTAGGAGGTCCCTGCTTTACCTGCCACTTAGATATCACTTTAGTCAATTCCCACAGGTATGGGGAACAAGAAAGGGTGCTGAGGAAAATGCAAATTTAATCAAGTTCTTTTGTTAATGGAATCAGAAAATGGGGACAGTGTAAGGTGACTGCAGGTAGGCACATGCAATCCCAGAATTTCATGAAAAGGTCAGGTGGCTTTCCCAAACTCAATGAGTTTAAGGTCTGGCTGCTGGCAAGTAGTTTTGGAGGGCAGAGACAGCTGGTGACCATGAGTACATAGTGATCCTAATCCACTTGGGTATTTCTCTGGTCAGCAGCACGGGTTTAGGGACAGAATTAATACAGGTAGTCTCTGACTTAAAATGTGTACAAGTTACAACAAACCACACTTGGGACTGTGATTGTCTTTTTGGGCACGTTATCATTACTACTATGTATACATAGTGTTGCAGGGCATAATTTGCTGATGTTTTTCTCATGTTCACTCAGAAATGTTCAGGGACAGATTGATAAATATAATAAATGGTGGTAACAGAAACTAAAACAAGTATTCGATGCACATCAGATCTAATTTATGACAGCCATCAGAAGGAAACCCTGTTGTAAGTCAGGGACCACCTGTAGATGTTTAGACTGATTCAGGCTTAAAAGTAGGCAAGGAAAATGTGGTTGAAGGGTTAGGGAATAAGGAGGGGTGAGGGGGCTAAAACAACTTAAATATGGAAACACCAGTTCTAGGCTGGGAGGGGATGGAAGTCAAGTCAGAGGCATCTGAAAGAAGACTTGAGGCAAGGGAAGGGCCTTTAGAGACTAGGTAGAGGAAGGTAGAAGAAAGGCAAACCCTCCCCATCTGCACTGTGGCTACTACAACCCTTACTGCAGTGCTGAGTTCTCTGCCTGCCTGCCGCACTTGATGCTGTAGAGCTGGCCTAGTTTCCAACTTCATACGTACAAGTCTATTTAAGCCTCAATATGAAAGATTAAACAACAACAACAACAAAAAGATAATGTATACACTTGGAGCAAATTTAGAAAAGACTGCAAAGGGGAAGAGGATCACGCACAGAACCGTCATCCAAAGATAACACTTGGTATTTTGGTATATTTCTCTCCATGCATTTTGCTATGTAATTGTAATTATACATAAATACATATACATTCCCACACATATACTAGGTTCTCCTTTCATAACATTTGTTAATGCTGTTTCACAGGGAAGAAAATTTAGATGAGAAAGTAAATCTTAACTTTCTCTAACTGTACAAACTCAACCTTACCTAACCTTCGATGTTTCCATGAGAAAGAGCCATCCCTGACCTTGCTTTGCAGTCTGAAGCCTCTGTACTATCAATTAGTCCCTCTTTTTCTTTCCATTATTCTTTTCCTGCATACCTAAGTGTTTAAAAAGCTCTGGTGATACAGTGGTTAAGGGATTCAGCTGCTAACCAAAATTTTACATAAAGGTTTACAGCCTTGGAAATGATGGGGCAGTTCTGCTCTGTTCTATAGGGTTGCTGTGAGTCAGAATCTAGTTGATGGCAGTGGGTTTGGTTTTCTGTTTATGTGTTTAAAAATACACACCCATTGCTGCCAAGTTCTCTCTCGTAACGACCCTATAGGACAAAGTAGAACTGCCCAGAGGGTTTCCCGAGCTGTAAGCTGTATGGAGGCACATTGCCATATATTTCTCCTGTGGAGCAGCTGGCTGGTGGATTTGAACCGCTGACCTTTCAGTTAACAGCTGAGCACTTAACCACTGCACCACCAAGGCTTCTAAGTGCTTACTGCATTCTAACACACATACTACACATCCTCCTTGGGTTTGTTTCTGAGGCAGTATCACTATGGAAGGAGATTGCCCAACCTTCCTTCCGAGGAGTGGTTGGTGAGTTTGAACCGCCACCCTTCTGGTTAGCAGTCAAGTGCTTTAGGCACTATGCTACCAGAGCTCCTTTAATACACATACCACCCCCCAACTTTATCTCTCCTGCCCTCAGAGCCAAGCTTCCTGAGAAGCTGTCCACACTAGAACACTAGATCTTTACCCACTGAGTCTTTAATCTGCTCCAATCTGGTTGATGGTCCTACCACTCCAAAACTGTCAGTTTTTGATCACCAATTACCTCCTAATACCCAATCTTGCTGCTTTTAATACCAATGACTATTCCCCCTCTTCAGATGCTATTCGGTGGTTTCCTTCAGCTGCACTGCTAACTCTCAGGACTCCAAGGCCATATGCTCCTCTTCCTCTACTCCCTTAAGTTAAAATCCCTCAGTAGCTCCATAGCATTTAGAATCTGAACATAGCTAAAATTTACACACTGTGCCCTTCAGGATGGTCCATGCTCCAACTGCTTTCCTTCCCCTATTTTCATAAACCTAAAGATTCTGCTACTCCATGGTATGACTACAGCATCATTTATAACACACACAACTGGAAGACATTAAACCATACATTCAAGATTAATGACTGGATAAATTACATGACAGAATATCATGCAGCCATTAAGATGTTCATAAATATAAAATATCAAGCATGAAACTACAGAATTGATGAAATCGCATCCTTTCAACTAGGTAAACAGAAAAAATAATAGCTGTGACTGAAAGAAATATCCCACTTACTAATAGCGGCAGCCTCTAGAGTGGTCTTTCCCCTCACCCCAGGGGGAACCCCAGTGGCACAGTGGCTAAGTGCTCAGCTGCTACCCAAAAGTTGGGCAGTTCAAATCCACCAGTGCTCCACAGGAGAAAGATGAGGCAGTCTTCCATGAGGATGAACAGCTTTGGAAAACCTATGAGCAAGTTCTAGTCTGTCCTATACAGTTACTGTAAGTCAGAATTGACAGCAGTGGGTTTCCCTGCTTCCTTCCCCCACAACTCCCCCTTCATAATCCTTTTTTCTGTACTTTTAAATATTTCTACAAGGAGCAGTATTGCTTTGATAAACGTAACAGATAAACAAATGAAGCCAAAAGGTGGAAGAAAAACAAATCATGCTCCAACTTTAGGATTATCCATGGACTAGAATCCATACTGTATTCATTTGCTATTGATGCTCTAACAAATTACCACACATTTAGCAGTTAAAACACCCATTATCTCATATTCTGTAGACTAGATGTCCACATGGGTCTCACTGGGCTAAAATGAAGGTGTCTGTAGGCTGCATTCCTTCCTGGAGACTCTGAGGGAGAATCCATTTCCAGGCTCACTCAGGTTGCTAGCAGTGCTGTTCCATGGCTACAGGCTTGAGGATTTCACTTCCTTGTTGGCTGTCTATGAGGGTCTGTTCTTAGCTTTTGGACATTGTCCACATTCCCTGGTTTGTGAACTCTCTTATCATCAAAGTCAGCAATGGCCACTTGAGTCCTTCTCGTACTTTGAATTTCTCTGACCTCCCCTTCTGCCTCCCTCTTCTGCTGTTAAGGGTTCATGTGAGTGTCTTGGGTCCACCCAGATCACTCAGGATAATGTCTTTATTTTAAGGTCAGCTGATTAATCTTCATTACATTTTCAAGTCCCTTCACCTGGATTGGTGTTTGACTAGAAAAACAAACGGGATGGAAATGTTGGGGGCAAGGCATCTTTAGAATTCTGCCTATCACACACACATCTACATTTAGTCTATGCTGTTACTATTTCTCCATGACTCCAAAAGGTATGGTATATTCTGTCTTCCATCTACTCTCCTTGCTAGAATTTAGCGGCTCATAAAAATGTATAAGGAAGATGACCACTGTATCTTCTACTAAGTAAAATAGTTTCACCAAACAAAGTAGGTTCAAAAACAACTCACATATTGGGTAACATATTAATAAAACAATGTGTCTATGTAAGCTTTCATCCCATAAATCAATGTATATAACTCTTTGTTGTTGTTGTTGTTATGTGCCGTCGAGTCAGACCCGACTCATAGCGACACCTCCTTGGGTTTCCGAGGCAGTATCACTACGGAAGTAGATTGTCCAACCTTCCTTCTGAGGAGTGGCTAGTGGGTTTGAACCACCAGCCTCCTAGTTAGCAGTCAAGTGCCTTAGGTACTATGCTACCAGAGCTCCCATATAACTCTTCAGAGAACTTAAAATAAAATGAGGTTATGGACAAACAGCTGTCAGTCCAAAGTACAAGTAAGCTTCTAAACAATGTTCTCTTTCTAAGATCTTAAAAAACACCTTAATTATACATTGAAGACCACCCTAATGCTCACGGACTGCAAAACTGAGAGTTTTCTTAAGAAATACTTCTTAGGAGGTGAGGGGAGGGAACATTGCAAAAAATTTTTTAAAAAGACATACTTCCTATGTTTAATTACATGACTGATAAGGAAATCTCACAACAGTAAATACATTTGCATTAACAATTCATTATTTTTCAACTGGGCAGGGTATTCCAAAGGCTAGGACTCTTCAACAAAGGTGGTTTATGACATCAAAAACTCAAACCAATTGGCTGAAATGGCAAATGTTTGTTACACATAATTTTAACATACATTAAACTAAAACCAGTAAAAAGCTGAGAGACAGAAAGTTTAATTTTATTACAATTGTTTTTCAAGTCAGCTATGATTTTGACAAATATAGGCAACTCTATAGCAAGTCTAATTTCCAAGATACAAAAGACAATAAATATAGATTCAAATTCAGCCTAAAAACAAGATTCTAAATCTAATTTCCTGTAGTGTAGTGTAGTTTCAATATTTCAAATATAAAATTCTTAAGATGCTACAAGAACTTATGTAATAAAATTATTGCTCACTGACAACCAAGTGACAGTTCTTCACTGGCAATACACAAATGTGTGGCACCTTCGAACCTTCATGTGAGTCCCTTAAGCGTCCCCTGGTGCTTGGGAACAATCAGCATGGTGTCATGATGGCACTGGTCCTTTCTGGCAGGAGGACTTGGTACCAGAGCAGGTGCTGAAAATGCCTACTAAGCAGGCCAACTAGCAAAATCAATGGCCCTCTTTTTTATACATGGGATTGTCACTGTCTATCTTTCTGAGTGCTACATGGAACACCTTTACCCTACACAGCACAGTCCTCTTACTTAGAGGCTCCATTCACTGAACTGAATGTCCTATGAAGAGTGAATTCTTCAATCCTTCATTTTCTTCCAGAGCACTTTCTTCATTGCTTTCGAGCTACACTGTCACTAAAAGAAGTCTTGTGAAATTTTTGCCAAAAGCAATCAATGTCTTACTTCTTCTTAGTGATAACAAAGATTACTTCTTCATTAACTAAAGTTCTAGAGAGGTCAGGCCAAGCTTCTTTGTCTTGGTTTAATTCTTGGGTATAGCTGTAAGAGAGTTTAGAAAACAATATGATACAGAAGTGTCAGGGCATTACAAAATTTCAAGAAATACTGGGGGGAGGGGATAGATGGCACATGAAATTCATCAAACTAAGAAAAAAAGGACTCTTTCTCCCACGTGAAGCACCCAGCAAGATTCACATTGAACAGCTGCTCTAGTTAGCTACTCTGCAAAAGATACCCAAAGGTCATAGGAATCTATCAACTGTGACAGTATCACAGCACAGTAATATAAAATTCTGAAGCTCACCACTCCATAACAGCACTAAGCATTAACTCAATTTCCACAATTTGTTGAAAAATAAATCAAGTTTAACAAGAAACACAAACTGTTAAAGGTGATGCTTTAAGCTTTTATGTTATAAGCTCCAGCTTCCATTACTAGAAAAAAAAGATAAGAGATGCAAGTCTCTTAATTTCATTCAAAGACAGTATTTTGTCAAGGGACTTGAGACAAAGGAATGAAACGCGTTAGATGAAAAGTCTACATTTTGAAGGAAGACTGGGGTGGCTTTGGTTTAGGACTCTTGATGTTTTCCCTAAGGAAAGCTGGAGAGGAGGTCATGAAATCCAGTCTTCCAGTTTGGAAGCTAAGGGCAGGTCAGACTAGTAACTCAACTGACAAAGCAAAAAAAAAGACCTCCCCCTCCCCTTGACAAACAAAAAAAGGTTTTTGAAAAGTGGAGTGAGAGAAAATAAACAAACTTCTACCCAAAACTGAAAAACTGGTGAATCAATGTTATATAAAGGACTTTTTTCTGAGGAAAGATATTTAGCCAATTCAATTTTTCAGACTCATACCTGATCCTATGACTAAAATGTAAACATGTAGACACTTTTATCTAAAAACCTCAAAAGAAACAAGGGGAAAAAACTGGACAGAAGCAATGCCCACCCAGAAAAGATTTCCAGAAAATTTAATAAAATTTAAATGTGGGATTTAGATGTAAGTATTCAGTCTGGTCTACTGGCCTCCTGACAGCCCCACACACGAAGCAAACCTTAGGTCTCTGATTAACTGCTTCCATAATGGGGATGAGTAATTCTTCCCATGTTTCCTTAACCACAGAGCCTCTTTGTTAGAAAATTAAAAGAAAATATCAAATGAACTACACAGTAAGTAGTTCTAAGAGAAAGAGTTTTGTTTTTTCCAAGTAAGAAACTATAAAAAGGAATAGTGCCTATTTACTGTGGAAGTTTATTAGTGACTACATGCAAGGCATTGTATTTCTTGGGACCTAAGGAGCTCTGGAGGAGCTCTGGTAGCGTAGTGCCTAAGGCACTTGACTGCTAACCAGAAGGCTGGCGGTTCAAACCCACCAGCCCTCCTCGGAAGGAAGGTTGGGCAACCTCCTTCTGTAGTGATACTGCCTCAGAAACCCAAGGAGGGGTTGCTATGAGTCAAGTCCGACTCAACGGCACATAACAACAACAAGAAAGAGCTCTGGTGGCATAGTGCCTAAGGCATTTGACTGCTGACCAGACACTTGGCGGTTCAAATCCACCAGCCACTCTGTGGAAGACTGGGCAATCTACTTCTGTAAAGATTTACTGCCTCAGAAACCCAAAGGGGGTTGCTATGAGGTGGAATCAACTTGATGACACTGAGTTTGGTTTTTTGTTGTTTTTTAAAAGATTTCATAGAATTGTAAACTGGGTTCTTGAAGAGTTCAACCATTATAGTTAGTTCTACTTTCCTTGGTAGTTTGACAGCTGTTTATTTAAAGGGCAGTGGATTTGGTTTTGGGGTTTTATGACCAGTATTTTTTCACTTTCATTGTCTTTATCATTTACATTATGATCACATCAATGAACATTGTCTAAATCCCAAATGTTTGTTTAGTAATAATATGTGCTATCAGGAAGGCAGTAATCCAGATGTATGAAGGAGGAGACGCTAGGTCAGCAATCAGGCTGTGAAGTCCCAACCCTGGAGGCATTTCAACGAACTCCACAAAAATCAAACCTGAACATTCACTGACACAACCCAATTTATGGCCTATATGCCAGTCTAAGCTCCCTGTGGGCAGAGATCACGTTTACCTGACATGTGATAAAAATACAATCACACTGTCTACCATCTGCTATATATGAAACCAAAACACACTGCCAACAGAGTTGATTCCAACTCACAACAACCCTTTAGGACACAACAGAATTGCTCCAAAGGTTCCCGAGGATGTAAATCTTTACGGAAGCAGACTGCCTCATCTTTTTCCCACAGAGCAGCTACTAGGTTCCGATTGCCAACCTTGTGGTTAGCAGCCGAATGCTTTAACCACTGCACCACCAGAGGTTCTTGCTATATATCAGCACCTGCTCTATCCTCATAACACTTAGGAGGAGGCAGGTCCTCCCCACCCTCCCACCTTCCTTTTGCAGCTCTGTTACCCACATAGCAAGTGCTGCCGTGGTTCTGACGTGATGTCATCAAAGTCATGGTCTCCCCACCAATATGCCCAGTATTACAATCAGCCCTTTCTGCCCTCACACTTTTTCTTACTTCCTCCCCAAGACTAGATTTTAAAAGTACTTTTACCCTTCAACTGTTATTTCATTTTCTCAATTATCCTCATCATTTCTCTCATTCTCTTTCACATATCCAGCATGCTCCTATGTACAACCAAATGAGAGAATAATTGAACCTATAAAAATGCTTACTGCTAAGTCTTGAAAGATGTTATTCTCTTTCTCTCCTCTCTCCCACTTTCTCCCTAAAAATACTCTTAAAACCCACACCTGATAGCAGTCCCATCATACTAATATAGAATTGGTATTGGTTATATGGGCCTATGTGATTTTCTTAATTTCTTGGTTTTTATGAAACTTAAAATCAAACAGTAGAGAAAAAACAAAGAATCTTGTGTCGTCTTTAATGCTCTGTCCAGCTCTCTACCACATGCCTACATATGTGAGAGATGCAAATCCTGGTTCTGACAGATTTAAAATCTATTTCAAATATCACACTCAATTCCCATGATATTATCCAGCTATCTTTACTGTGCTTATAAATGTAAGCGGAAACTCTGACCTGTAGGGGCTGGCAAGTATATATAAAGGTACTGTTGATTATAATAGGAATCAGTGCTAAAATGGCTCTAAGTCTAAATCTAAGACTAGCAAACATTTAAAATCCCATGTCTTATTAGCAAGGTGCAGGAAGGTGCATTATATACACAACATCTGGCAGTTTTTGCAAAGCCCCTCTCTGGCACATATAAAAGCACATCCTAAGTATTGTAGTAACTTACTCCCAGCAAGTTGCGTGGAATGTATCCCTCGTTTTCATTAAGGCGTGCCCACCACCATTCAATTTCATCTTCATCTTCCCTGCGGATGATTGTCATGCAGTCTCCTTCTCTCATGGGCAGCTCGTCATCATTCTGAGGTTCATAATCCCAAAGTGCATAAATGACACCTTTATTCATTATGCCCATCTTCTCCTGGACTCCTACAATCACGACAGTAACATACAGCACACAACTGTATACAGTATACAGAATACACAACTCAGCATATACTGCTCTTAAGAACCTTTAGCTATGCAAAACCAAACAAGAAGAAACATGCACATGCTGGCATGTTAGAAGTACTACATTAAACTTTCATTCCGTGAGTAAATTTCCCAGAGGAAATAGAAGAGGAGTAGAGAGCCAGCAGGGTATAGGGAACACACAAAACACATGGTATGGACACTGTCAGCTCTGAAAACTAACAAACACTTTACAGTTTTAAGCATGTCTCAAAACTGGTCTTACTCACAGTATAAAATTTTTTGCAAGCACAGGAATCAGAAGCTCAGTTTTTAAAAAAGTTTTTTTTGTTTTTTTTTTTTAAATTGCCCTTCTCTTCACCCAAATCAACACTTGTCTCTACCTATTTAATAGTGTTCCCTACCATCCCCTCCCAAATGGTTACCCCTAGTAACCAACAAAGAAAATTTCCTTCCATATATAAACCTTTCCTTGACTTTTTACAGTAATGGACTAATACAATATTTGTCCTTCTATGACTGACTTATTTCACTCAGCCTAATGTCCACCAAGTAAAAAAAGAAGAGTTTTTAAAGAAAACACTGTTTGAGTCCAGGAGATTAAAAAAAGTGAATGATATGTCTATCAAATTTCAATCTACTCAGTATAATGACCAAGGAACTCTGAAAACACTACTTCTTTACCTAAAACTTAAAAGTCAGAGAAAAAGAAGTGTTTTGTCACTTAAAGTAGTCTCTACCAATTGTTAAATGGAGAAAAAGAAAATTTTTTTAAAAATCACAAAGTACATTAGCATGCAAAAATATGACATTTTAGAGATGACACAAAAAATCTGCATTGAATCAGAATTCTAAAAGACACTGAAATCACAGCCAGAGAACCTCTCAAATGTCTACTTTTCACCAGAGTTAACAGGTGTGCAAACTACTGTATGTTCCACCGTTCTCCATCTAAACCCTTCTGTCCTGTAAGGGGCAATGCTAATAAGGAGCAACAACCATCAATCGGCAGGCAATGGGACGAAAGTAGAGGAGTTAAGGAATTAGATAATAAAGTCTTAGTTTATACGAATTCAGAGTTTATTATTATTATATTCACTATTTAAAAAAAAAAAAAAAACTAAGCTAGGAAAATATTCGCTTGCTTTCTGATATTCAGACTTTTCAACTTAGGTGAACATTCAACTATAAATTATGAACTTATTATTCCTATACCAATCAATATAACAGAGCAAGCATTATCTCTTTCTTACTCTGGAGAAAAATGAAATTATTCTTTTCTAAAAGTTTCTGCCACTTTAATGGGTCAGGTTTCTGCTAATGGAGACGAGTAAATTTCTAACTCTCCTATTTAAATAAAACACGCAAAGCCTGACAGACAGTGTCTGTTTGGGATAATGAGGAAGGGAGAAGGAAAAGATATTCTGGAAATTTTAGTAGACTCAAAATAATAATTTGAATCTCCTTTCTAGGAATTCATTAGGAATGGAAGAAAAAACTCTTATTACTCTGCTGTTTATCAAATTAAGAGCTGCAAACTACTCTTTTAAAAAAATTTTGAGGGACCTGAAACATGCTCAAGGTCACTGATAATCAGGAAAATGCAAACCAGAGACCCAACTTATCTTTCTAAATCCACCAAGGGCCAAAGGGGCTTGAAGGAAAAGGAACTCTGCCAGTAAGAGGGTAAACTGGCATAACCACTGTGGAAAGTAATTCTGGATTTACTAATTAAAGATGTGCATCATGGTGACCTTGCAATTCGACTCCTTGATAGACACCAGAAGACATGTTCAAAATGATCACAGGAACAGTGTGTGTAAGAGCAGTAAGTATGGACACTACATACATAGAAGGAATCAACTCACATGTCCTTCAAAAGTAGAATGGAAAGATAAATTGGGGTACAGTCATAAAAATGAACACTACAGCACATGAAAATAAACTACAGCTGGATGCAACAACACAGATGAATCTCAAAAACAATGGTGATGAAGAAAGTAGACCATAAAAAAAAATCACCAACATGACTAATTTTATATAAAACCCCAATACAGCCAAAATGAAACAAGATTAGCTATAGGATCCATAGAGGGGATATAACTGAAGTCAAAGCAGAGTTTCCAGGGACTGTGAGACGGGACTTTATCAGGGAGGGACACTCGGTTGATTCAGAGAGAGTGGTAATGTTGGGTGGGGGATACAAGGATGTTCACTGTGTTCCACTGGTTTTATTATCATGTTCAAGCTGCACATCTATAACATAAACACTTTTGGTAACTGTGATACATATATAATTAATTCAACCAAACCCATTGCTATCAAGTTGATTCTAACTCATAGCAACACTATATGATAGAGCAGAACTGTCATATAGGCTTCCCAAGGCTAAACTTTATGGAAGCAGATCACCTCATCTTTCTCCCAAGGAGTGGCTGGTGGATTCACACCAATGACCTTTTGGTTAGTATCCAAGCGCTTAACCACTATTCCACCAGGGCTCCTATATTTATAATTAAAAGTCTGTAAACATTTTATATTCCATATTTAAATATAGCTTAAGACCAGTCAATTTAATATATCAAAACAAGAGTTCAAAACTTTAACAGAGAGTAATCATAAACATCAACAAGACAAACAGCTGGGGCAGATGCAGAAGAGAACCTGACTGCAGTTGGGTCTCTCACCCTCCCCCTCTCCCTTGCTGCTGCAGCCTGAACACAGGACGAGTCAGGCAGAGGGGCAAGTCCTCTGCAGCCAAACAAAAGGAAAACACAGACCTCAACTTCTAAGCCTTGTAACTTAAGTTAAAGAAAAATTTTAAAAAAAGTTCCTTCAAATTATAAGCAACATATGTGCATTTAAAGCTGCAAGCCTACTTCTCTCAAGGTACAGATCTGATGTTAGCAATCAGAATCATAAACTCAAAATCAAGAAACCAAAAGAGCAACATAAATGTGTTGCCTTTATTTTACTTTATAACCAGTCTTACTTAGTAGGAAAACTGAAACCATTTGGGTTCTTATACTGACACCGCAGCTCCCTGGAATCATCGTGGAACAGGGCAGGGCCATGCACTTGTTTGCCATCACTCAGTAAGTGCCAAAGCCTTAGTAAAGAATCTTTTAATGGCCAAAAGCCATTAACACCACTAGGTCAGCTGCTGCATCAACTGTCTTTTGTAGTTGGACATGGCCCTGACAATAGCTGTTTCTAGGCATGAACACAAATGCTACATTGATATTTCTGGCTGAGGTTGCTCTATTTTCAACACCCAACTTTCAAGGTACAACACTAAAGATTATTTCTAAATAACAAAAATATTTACCAAATTATAACCTAGAGATATAAGGTAAATTAATGTAGTAATCAAGACACTGAATTCTAAGTCACATACCATAAAGAAACTGGGAGCACTGTGTGTAGCCCTCCTCCATTTCCTCACATTTGTCCGCCGCAGTCTGCATGTCGCTATAGGTCATAGCAAACACGGCAGCTCCAGACTCCACCAGAAACTTACACACTTGAACATTGTTACAGGAGGCAGCACAATGTAAGGGAGTCCTGGGAAGTGAAATGCAAAAAGGACCAGAAATGTTTTTCTAAATTGAATGACACCTACTGTAAAGCAAATTCTCACACCTTAAACCAAAAATATCCCTGAAGTCTTCTTAAAGCTAAACAATCGTTTAACTAGTAAGAAATGTCTGCCTTAGCACTGTGCTTTCAAGATCTATCTATATGTGATCAAAACGACAACAGCAACTCAAAAGATCAGACAGAACCTGAGGGGGCAGTGAGTTTCTATTAATGGGGGAGGAACAACTCAGAAAAGGAAAGTGAGAAGCATAGCACAACTTGAAGAATGTAAACACTATCACTAAATTGGCACACACAGAAACTGTTTATGAAAACAAAAAGTAGTAAGGAAAACAACGTGATATCTGATTTACGATTAGACTCAAAACGGCCAACATGAAATATGAATAAATATATTTAATTAAATAAAATGAAAAAGAAAATTCGCGAGTCTATCATCGACTCTGTCCTTTCTTCTGAAAACCTACTGGACAGTCTTTGTGTTATTGTTGTGTGTGTCTTTTTTTTTTTTTTTTAATTTAAAAAAAAAAAACTGTTAAACATGGACCTGAACCCATCAGAGAATTACAACCACAAATATCACAGAAATATATAAAGTAAAAGTCTGACCCATCCCCCATTCCAGAACACAATTATCATTGTGGGGTAATAGAGAGCTGGTTTTCTGTTTTCCACAGTGGACACACTTTATAAACTTCTAAAAATTGCAACCAAATGCTTCTTATAACAACAACAAGAATAAAAAATTACAAAACTATCAAAATGTCTAACAAGAGGGAACAGGTTGCAATAAATGAGTATACAGCCACTTGATAGGATATATGTGCGGATATGTAATTTTCATATATGTACATGAGAATGTGGTATCATATCATTACTACTTTCCACATTAAGAGAAAAAACAGGCTATAAACAAAATACTAGAGTACATATAACATGATTACAACTTAAAAAAAAATCCTACACAGAAAAAAAGTCAATTTTCTGTGTATTTTCATAAAGAAAGTACAGTATACAAAAGCACAACATCAGTTTCACAAAATGCTCCATGAAAAACAGATTCAATGATCAAACATATTTGGGAAATGTGTTAAATTATAAGCCTCTCTTAAAGAGGCACAATAAACACTGGTGAAACTGTCTTGTTTCTCCGAGTCTCACAAGTTTTCCGCCTTTGATAGGTGCAGTCTTACCACTTTTCTATCACTAGAGTTTTAATGTAAAATATTTGTGTTTTCATCCTCTGAGACGTTTCTGCCTTATAATGGATCTGGCTTTCACAGATTTTATTCTATATTGTAGGCACTGAAAAGTTTAAGGGGAGTGGGGGAAAGCTTACTTAAACCACCACTTCTCAAATTTGTTTAAGCATGCTAATTAACTGCATACCACTTTCTGACATTTCTGATTTTTAATATTAACTAACTACTAAACTTTTGAAAATTTCACCTACTTCCAGAATGGGATAACTGCTACATGAAGACAAGTTAACTCTTCAAAAATGTATATACCACATTTCTCCAGTTAGATTATTATAAAAAGTAGCTTGAGGACTTACACTTATAGATCTCTCTGCCTTCCAACAGCACCTACCACATTGCTTATACTTCACAGATACTCATAATTAAGTGAAGTCTGATGGAGTTAACAGAAAATCTTACCATCCATCACTATCAGCAGCATTTACGTTGACACCAAACTGTACCAGGAACTTAACAATTTCTGTGTGGCCTGCACACACAGCATTGTGAAGAGCTGTGATGCCTTCATCATTAGGCAAGCTTGGGTCATCAACCTGTAATATCAATAACAAGGGTAAGTATCATTCAAATTTCTTGTTACCTGAGCTGTCACTATTAACTGGCAACTTAAGGTCAAGAGAACAGAAGGAGACTCTTGAGGCTCTCCCTCACTGCGCCCCCCCAAAATAACTAAAACCCACAGGAACCAAGAAAATTCTGAAAGAAAACAGAAGGAATAACCACATTAAGTAGGTGATCACTATAAAAAAGTTTAAAAAAAAAAAAAAAAAATGAAGTAGTACTACCAGGAACTATATTCTTATAGTCATTTTTGTTTGTTTATCCCCTCAACTTCCCACCACAAATTAGTTTCTAAGTAGATGCTATATTCTCCATGGGAAAGAAAACAGCCAACTAAAAATATTTTAAATAGAAGGCTTCTAGAAAAGTAGAACCAGGTATATAATTTAATACTGTACAGTACAAGTCCATTACACAAGCAATTTTCAAATGAGTTAATGATTCTCCTAAGAGACAAGTACTCTAGGACCTGAGGTGAAAATTTAACTCTGTGCTATTAAAATTTTTACAGTCACATCTGTAAAACATCATAGTCTATTCTGGAACATGCTCAAAAGTTTCTCTACACCAAACCACTCTTCAGAAAGAAAACAATTAAAAAATACAATTTCTCCAGAATAGTTTTCTATGTGAGCTTTAGAACAAGATACAAGGTCTTCTTTTTTCAAATTTATTTATTATAATCATACCTCATATATAATTCTTTGGACAAGGTCAAATTCTCCCTCCAAAGATGAATCTAGAAGTAAAGCAAGAGGGTTGAATTTAACCCTCATTCCATGAGCAATCCGCTCTGAACCAGTTTTGCGTAAGTTTGTTCTTTTGCCCTGCAGAGGAAATGCATAGCAAAATAAGGATCGTGGTGGTCTAAGCAGAAAAGAACAACAATAACAAAAAGGATGAACAACATCTAACTAATGTGATGAAAGAATTTTAAAAATATGTACATTTAGCACATTTTATTGAAGTATAACATTCAGAGCAATGCAAAAATCGTAATATTCAGCTCAGTGAATTTTCACAAAGCAAGCAATTCTTTGCAGAAAGAGACTGGGCAATCTACTTCCATAAAGATTTACCATCTCGGAAACCCAATGGGAGTTGCTACAAGTCAGAATCGACTGGATGGCAGTGAGTTAGTAAGTAAACACTTTGTTACCCACATAACAAGGTGGGAGGAACTTAAGTTTACAAACTCTAATTCAATTAAATTTGAGTAATATGTTATAGCATAAACATAAAAACGCACCTCACTGCTGTTGAGTTGGATCCGACTCATAGCAACACCTGCTTGGAATTCCAAGGCGGTATCGCTACAGATGTAGCCTCCAGGAATGGCCGGTAGGTTTGAACCACCAGCCTTCTGTCCCCCCAAAATAAAAAAACAAACCCATCACTGATGAGTCAATTCCAACTCATAGTGACCCTATAGGACAGAGTAGAACTGTCTCATAGGGTTTCCAAGGCTACAGATCTTTCCAGAAGCAGGATGCCACATTTCTCTCCCCATATAGCAGCTGGTGGGTTCAAATCAACCATTGGTTGACAGCTGAGTGCTTAACCACTGTGCCACCAGGACTGACTATAGTATAAGCAATAATTTGACATGGCAAGTAGGCTGGCTTTTTGTCAAGTGTCAAAATCAGCACAGAATGATCTTTAAATTCCCTATCTAATATAGTATAAGAAACCACACACTCTAAAAATGGGCAAGAGTACAACTCAGAGTTACAATAGCTAACATTTACTGAATGCTTACTCCTTTAATCCTCACAAAACCCTATTATCTCCATTTTACAAATGAGGAGACTCAGACGCACGGCCAGAAAACGGCAGAACTGGAATCCAAATTCAGGGGACCTGGCTTCTTGGAAGCCCTTGCCCTTAACCATTTCACTCAAAATTCCCCCTCAGGGGAAAGCATGTAAATAAGGTAAATAATAAAAATAATTAGTCTATTTTAGATAAACCAAGCACAATCCCCCTAGTTTGAACACATAACGTTATCACTATTTTATGTAAGAAATTTAATTGAACTTATAAATACAAAAGCAGATTAACATCTTCCTGTATTTTAATAAATCAGGCTAAAAACGAAGATAAAAATTTAAATACTACATCTAACACTGTTGTAAAATAGGTTTCTTACTTAAACATATCCAGCAAAGTGGAAATACTTCCTAAGGTGTTATATACCACACACGTCTTTCATTTTATTGCAGATGGGGAAAACTACTGAATGAAAAGCCTTAAGTGGCACATAATACACAATATATTCTACAAAATTTGCAATGGGTAAAATCTTGTTTCTTGAAAAGGAAGAAAGAAGTATAAACATTAAATGACTGTGGGGAATATAATTCAGTAGCATAGTGTGAGGATGCCTGTTGTACCTACTTTTAAGGAACATGCAGAAAAGTAAGGCTCCTTATTTCACTTGAGACTGAGAAGGAAAAAATAAATTGTTTTCCTAGGAAGAGAATAAAAGTACCTTAAAAGTTGTTGTTATTGCTGTTATTATGTGCCGTCAAGCCGGACCCGACTCATAGCGACCCCTTCTTGGGTTTCCGAGGCAGTATCACTATGGAAGTAGATTGCCCAACCTTCCTTCCGAGGAGTGGCTGGTGGATTTGAACCGCCAGCCTTCTGGTTAGCAGTTAAGTACCTTAGGCACTATCCTACCAGAGCTCCTTCCTTAAAAGATACTTTATCTAAAAAAAAAAAAATCTGGTGGCTTTTCCTCCTCAAAAATTTAGACACAACAACAAAAAAAGTCAGAGATAACATGACCAGAAATATGTGGATTGGTTTGGTCAGGATGGCTTAAAACATCCTTCCTTCTTTTCTCAAATGAAAGAAACAAGCCTCAGGATTTAGAAGGCATAAAGGTGTCTAAAAAGTGTTATTTTCAGATTATATTTTTTCTATCATCAAATGTTTACTATATAAAACTTTAAAGCAAATATATATTATAACCACAAAGCTAATTAAAATAACTGAACAATTATGATCTTGGAATACCATCTCATCTAAAAATTATAGTAAGGGATTGAGTTTGTGAAGTACATTTTTTTAATCCTTATAAAAAATGTTATTTTGATTTTGACCAGGTTTTAAAAATTCATATGCATCCTGGCTCCTTTCTGTGCTTACTGAAACAAAATGACCTCAAATTAACTCTAAAAATGTAGATTTTATTTAAAGACATTCTGGAATTTTTTATTTTCTCTCACCTATTTCAAGGAGACACGCTAAACTTCTGAACAAATGTTTAGTGTCTGGAAGGATTATGGAAAGCATCCCTAAGTCAAAACATATGAAATTTAAGAATAACTTAATATGATAGTGTACTAAGAAACCTTAGGGACCATCATGTTATCCAGAGATTTTCAAAGTATAATGAAGGTGAAGAGGCAGTGTCCACCTCACCCATCTCTGTCCCAGTGATCCTTCCCTGCCCTCATTTCATCAAATTCTTCCAATTTATTCTTCGACTGTTATATAAGTTTAAGGTTCCACCTTCTATTTCATTAAAAATAAATTTCACTGTTTGAAAAAGAGTGATAAATCTAATGAGAGAAGCAGACTGTCTGCCTGATCTTATGAAGCTGAGCTAGTGATCAAGTTTCAAATCCAGGTCTTATCATCCCCAGTCTCATGCTGCTTTCCTAACATGAGACATCAGCTCTAACAGAGAGAGCCAATGCCATAATTATAAGAAGAAAATCTTGTTTCCTTCACAAAGAAATAGATTCTTCCTAAAAAAACAAACATAGTCTTTATCCTGAATAGCTGACTGTTGATAACATTTATAAGATCCACTCTGTACCAAGGGAATTTTCAAACAGAAAGGCAAACTGCAGAACACATTTGCTCTACTAGGCAATTTGAACACAAACATCTTTTATAACTGGCAATAAGTACTTGTTGGTGTTTCACTGATGGCTGACAATCAACCACCTAGAAGAGATGGATGAGGTAGAAGACTCGTGAGATGATCATCAACATTACTTACAGGAGGCAAAGAAACCTGCCCTGTGATTTCAGGTGGACGCATGCTCACAGGGTCTTCTCCTGGCCCTTCAGGTTCCCCAGATGGGTATGGTGGGGGTGGGTATGGGGGATACTCCTCCAGATAAACTTCAAGCAGATGGGGAGCCTCTGGATTTGGTTCCTCCAAGTTATCCTGGAGATTTGGGTTGCTGTCTGAGACTCCTTCAGACACACAGTCAAGCCCTGGAGAAGGAGCTGGTATGTCACTGTTCTCTGTACTAGCACTCTCTGCTTCCTCTGGGGACACTGTTTCAGGAACCAGAGAGACCACCTCCTTCTCTGGTTCCACATTTAAGTATGGATTTGGGATCTCGATTGGGCTTTCTGGGCTGGCAGTCCCTGAAGCTGACTTAGGTGGGTATGATGGGACAGAGATGGTCTCCATGGCAGCTATGGTGGTCCTCTGATACAGAAGTTTCTGAATATTTGGCCCATTAGGACCCTCAGGCTCTGTAATAGAGCTACGTTTTTTTAATGGCCTTGGTGCATTAGACAGCTTCTTTCGCAGGGCTTCTAAGTCAGCATCACTCTGGTTTCGGTAAGGATGAGATAAGAAAGGCAGTAACTTGGTTGGGCTGAGTGGACGAGGAATTCTCTCATTCTCGTGGTTCTCCTGAACTGAAGAAACAGGCTCTGTGTCAGGGTCTGGACCGCCAGGCTTGCCCTGACTACCGGAATAAATGTTTTCTGGGTGCTGCTGTTGATTCTGGGCAGCAGCAATCACAGGCTTGCCATACACTAGTGGACAAGGAAAAATTCCTTGTTAGTATTAATTATGCAAAACTGGCAAATAATAGATTCAATTAACAATAATGAAAGCTTACTTTAACTACATGACATCTTTCACGTAGTTAAAAATACACGTTTAAAAATACAAGTAATATTTTTAAACAATAATTTAACAAGTGACAAACAATGTTTCTATCTTTGTATAACAAAGTTGTTATAGAATCTAAACCCTTACAGACTTTAACATGCACCATTATATCATGTACCAATAAGAAAATGCTGCCAATTAAACTATAGGAAATCACTCACTATAACCTGTATCCAAATTTCATTTGTCAAAATATGATAAAATATACAAGTTAGAATCAAGGAAAACTGATAACCCTTCTCATGTGTCCAGATTAAAACTAAACATGCACTATCCAAGCTTTCATATTTTTCAGTCAATCAATGTGAAATTAATCAGTTGGCCTACAAAATTACTTGGATAAGGCATTTGGCTGCTAACCAGAAGGGTCATCGGCTCAAACTCACTAGCTGCTCTATGGGAGGAAGATGAGGCAATCTACTTCCATAAAGATTTACACCCTAGTAAACCCAACGGGGGTCACTATGACTCAGAATCGACTTGATGGCAGTGGGTTTGGTTTTTTCTATTTACCAAAGCTATTTCCTATACAAACATTACGATTATACAAAAATTATCTGATTCCCAAATTGCTATATAAACAGTTTTCATCAAAAGACCCACGAAAATAAAAAGAGTAAGCATATTATGTTTTTTGCCAATTTCCTTATTGACATTTTACAATTACATGCTTAGCTCATGACAAGACAATTTCATTCATTCAAAACATGGTGGATTTTGTTCTAGTCTTATAAGCCAGATAATAACTTAAATTCCAAACCAAATCTACTGCCATTCAGTCAATTCTGACTCATAGCAACCACCACTGGGTTTCCAAGGATATACATCTTTACAGAAGCAGATTGCCTCATCTTCCTCCCTCAGTGCATTTGGTGGGTTTGAACAGCCAACCTTCTGGTTAGTAGCCAAACGCCTTAACCACTACACTATCAGAGCTCCACAGATAATACTTTAGTACCCAGTAAGTTATCAGATTATACACATTTAGCACAAACTAATAATTTTATGATTTTATATTTAGTTAATTGCTAAGCCTGCAAAAGAACAACTTAATAGTGTTATTTAAAAAAAAAAAAAAAAGAAACCCAAATACTAAGGCAATTTGCCAACCCTCTGTGTACCCAAAACACCTGGTCACACCTTTAGTGTAGATAGGGCCTTTTGTACTGTAATTACCTGTGGGCATTTTATCTCACTCACCAGTGAGTTCCTCAAGAACTAGTCCATAGTTCATTCATCTATTACCTTCAGTGCCTACTGCAGCAGTTGACATTTAGCAAGCACTTTTTTTTTTTAACTCCCAATTAATAACAGAAGCCACAATTAAATAAAACTCTTAGCATAAAGATCAGTGAAAACAGATACAAGTTATTTTGCTGTTTGCTGATATATGAAGCTCTGGTGTAGAACTTTTACACATACATCATCATGAAAGTAAGACCCAGAACCTTACCACTTGAAAAATGTGGTCCTCTGGTGTGTGTCTTGGTTAATGCACTCTGAACTGCCTGTTGAAAGTTTTTTCCAGGAGCCTGATGCTGGGTGTACATGGAATATATGGAGCTTGCTGCCACAGTCTGTGGTTTTCTGAAAGGTGGGAGCAGGGTGTCCTTGGAAGGCTGAGGAGTAAAGGGCCGGACAGCGGCAGCAGGTGGACTTTCTTGCTTAGAGCCTGGAGAAAGGGTTTGGTCTTGGCCAACTGAAGGAACACCAGGAGACAGCTCAGCCCTCTGCTGCTGTCCTGACGTTTTAGGTTTATTTCCCATGGATGTAGTAACTGTTGAAAATTGCTGAGGATTGCCATCCGGCTTAACGTCTGATGGTGACTGATTAGTTTGTCCAAAATAAGGCAAATTAATCTGTTTTGGTTTTGTAGGAACAGGAGGTGGTACTTTAGCACCATTTTTATTTGTAGCCTGTAACACACACAAATAAAAAGCCAGTTAAAATTTCACAAATAGAAGAACATTAAAAATACCAAAACTCAAACCAAACTCACTGCCCATTGAGTCGATTCCAACTCACAGTGACCCCCTTTGGGTTTCCAAAGTGGTAAATCTTTATGGAAATAGATTGCCTGGTCTTCCTTCCATTGAGTGGCTGGTGGATTTGAACTGCCAACCCTCTGGTTCTAAACTTTTAAATCGTTAAAAGTTTTAAATCTCCAGACTTAATCACATTTAATAATTGACTTCTGGAATGCAGCTCCTCCCCGAAAGACTTTTTCCCCCTTGCCTCCACTTCCTATTTGGGTAACTCTAAGGGCCTACTTGAGAACTTTCCATCACCATCCTTCATGTTCATAGATAGATAAATAAATAAAAACCATCTTGTTCATTGGAATATCATACAGTCTAGGCCACTGTGCTTAAGAAATCACCTAACTTGGAGCGCTCAGCTATAACCTGGCTGTCAAAGACTAATATCATACAAAGTTATAGAATATTCACCATCAAATCACTGATAAAATATCAGCTCCAAATTCTGAAGAAGCATGATACTTGAACAGCATACAATGTTCTTCAATGCACTTACGCTTTTCAAACATCACACAAAATGTGACCCAGAAGCAACTACATTGGCCATTCTCCAGTTTGATGTGAGATCACAAATATACTCAAGCAACAGAAATTAAAGTATCAGAATCCCATTACATTTTCTAATATTACTTACATACAGATATTGTTACTCCTGTTCTCCCATGCATAATTCTTTATCCCTTCTAAAATATCCACAAAAAATTACCACTAAATTTTTAAAACCAGATATTCTCTATACCTGAGCATCCCGCAAGATATCTTCACTGCTCTGGTTTTTCCTCAGAGTACCAAAGGAAGCCGGGGCAGCAGACTGGTCAACAGTGTCAAACATTGAGAAGGGGCGCACTTTCTTCTCTTTCTCCCTTAAAGGAACCTCCCCATCATCAGCTGTAGACAGAAAAAAAAGAAAAAAAAAAAAAAAATCACAATAATATTCATTCAAATGTATGATGAAACTCCTTATCCACTTCTAAGCTTGTCTTTCCCAGATTTCTTTGAAACCCTGTATGTTTCAAACATACAAATTCTGTATGTTTTCTATATTTAAATTAAGTTGATAAAAGAATAATTCAAATCCAACAATTACAGTATCCTTAGTTCTCAGCTAAATGAAGGTATCCTGGAAACAAACAAAACACTAGCTTTAACACACTGGAAAATGAACTCTATATAAAAGAATACATAGCCACCTCTAAACCAAATAATAGATGGGCCTATAAAATAAACAGTAACACTCGTAAAGGTGCTCCTTAGAACAACCAGCTATACAAGACCAAAAGAACAACATCTGCCCAAAAGCAAAGATGAGAAGGGAGGGACAGGAAACCTGAATGAATGAAAACGGAAAACTCAGGGAAGAAGTGGAGAGTATGCTGACATATGGTGGGAATTATAAACAATGTTAAGGAACCATTCATGTATGAATTACTGATTGCAAAACTAACTTTCTATGTAAACTTTCACCTAAAGCACAATAAAACACCCCACTCCCCATTCCCACCAAAAAAAAAAAGACTAACAGCACTTTGTAGATGATCAAAATACAGTGTTCAGGAGCAGCACAAACAAACCTTACCTTGGTCCAGGGAATTCCCAGGGCTTTTAGGTATAGAAGCAGAGCCTTGGCTTGATGAAATCTCTGCATTTGAATGACTCCAATCAAGGCCAACTGGATGGATTTTAGAGCCTAGAAGGCAGGTTGGTAAATGCAGACTGGTAGCTATAAATACTCAAGTACTCTACGAGTTTTTTTAACAGTTCATTTTACTCCTAAGAATTTCAATCTCTAAAAATAACTTTTAATTTCAGACTCTGCAGTGTAGTAAATTACTTAGTATGGCTTTTCTACCCATAAATCATTAAACTCAGTGGTGGAATGAGCAACTGAGGAGCTCCTGATTGTAAATGTTATCCACCTGGGTTATTTCTGTTGGGCGCGGCACAATGCAATGTTATGGGAGGCTCACTCTCAGGTGCTTAGAATTCTGTTGTTATGATTGGTTGGTTTGGCCACTCTGCCAAGCTCAAAATGAGGCCTCCTAGAGGCAGAACTGTCTCTGACTGCTGTTTGAGGAAGGCGTGCTGCTGAAAGAGACACGTGCTACTGAAAGAGACACGTGCTGCTGGGAAAGAGACGCAACAGACACGCGTTGCTGAGTAAGACACCGAGGGACATGCACTGCTGGGAGAGAGACTGTGAGACTTGGCTGAAAGACAGCAGGCTGGGAAAAAGACTGAGCGTTTTTCCTGAACTTGAATTGTAGCCTGGTGCTTCCCTAATAAACGCCATAATCTGTGAGTTCTGTGTGGTCACTGCAGTGAATTATCGAACCCAAGAGAGAGGTGGTGGTGCTTTGGGAGGAACAGTTGGTGAAAGGGCTGGAGGGAGGCAGCATGTCTGGCCTTGCAGGAATAGGCCTTGGGCTATTGATGGTGATTCTGCCTTCCTCTTGTGGATTTCTAGGAGGTCAGAATATGTGGCCTCCTTGCCTTTTTTGCAGACTCACAACAATATCCCAGTATATTTATTTAGAAAACACGTATCAGATTTCTATTTCTAACTTTAAATTTCCCCTTATTTAAGCAACTTAAAATTAGTCATGTGTTGTTGTTGTTATGTGCCATCAAGTCAGACCCGACTCACAGCGACCCCTCCTTGGGTTTCTGAGGCGGTATCACTACAGAAGTAGATTGCCCAACCTTCCTGCCAAGGAGTGGCTGGGGGGTGTGAACTGCCAGCCTGCCGGTTAGCAGTCAAGTGCCTTGGACACTATGCTACCAGAGCTCCCAAGTTAGTCATAGGAAGTATAATCTGCTCTAACCAGCAAGGGCACATTACTTTTCACTGTGTAAGAAAACACCGCGACACACAGAAAATGATGTCCACCTCAGCATACCATAGGGTCTGAAGTGCACCTTACAAACACCACGAGAGAAACACACGCACAACCTGAAGGCAGCAGTGCTGACTTTTAACCCATGACTGCCACAAATCCATGTATTTTTTTTTCTACATTATTATTTAAACATCAAAGCCATGGCTTTTATTTTTCTTTCTAGAAACAAAATGTTAACTCTTTCTACAGTAAGGCACTATTTCTTCAGAGTTGTAATTATGGCAAAATAAAGAAGGATTTTTAAATTAGCTGTATTTTGCACATGATTGTGGTTAGGGAAAAAAGACTATTACTTTTTCTTTCCAGCGGTCTGCATAAGATCAGTAAAGGATGTTTTCACTCTGCTTTTCCCCAAATTCTCCCTTTCCTTCTACCACTTACAAAAACTCTTGCTTGCTAATTCCCCATGTTCCTGAGGTTTACACAGAATGCAGAGCTTACTAAATGTATCACTTATCTCCAGAAGACAAGGAGCCTCTGTTATTTTCACTTTTTATCTCCCAATATTTTTACCTTTACTCTAAGAATCACCAGCAGGCAAATTCCCCCACATAAGCACCATTCCTCTACAGAATGGATTCACCACCTTACGTTCTGTAACTGATGACACCACTAACACTTACATAGGTGGTATTTTTACCCAAAAAGAACAGTTCTCAAGTGATTAACAAGAGATCAAAATTTCCTTACTAATAAGAAAGAACTTCTCAAAACGATTTTCAGATTTTCAAAATTATATGTTACTTCATTTCCACAAGATAATTACATTATTTAAGATTAAAAAACTTATTGCACTAGCAGAGAATACAAAGAGATTGTTAGAGTTTAAAAATGAACAAGAGAGACGATGACAGTGTTTGTTACAAAATAAAATGGGGACAAACAATCATGGGGATGGAGTGGAACACAGCTATGGAAAACTTGGAAACTATTTGTTCTTACCTTTAGCTTGTGAAGCAGCCCCAGCTCTCATATTTGGCAGTGTCTGAATTTTCATCGGCCCCTCTGAGGCCTGCATGGCCAAGGCCTCATCTAACAGGGCTGGTTTCACCAGGAGTTCAGGCCTTGAGGGAATCCGTGGCATAGTAGACGACTGGATATAGGGCCCTACTGCAGCCACTCGACTCGGTGCTAACACTGCTTGCTGGGGAAGATTTCCATCAGATGAGACCTAGAGAAAAGAACACAAGTCCTTTAGTACTACAACTTGTACTAGATAATGAACTCAGAAAAAGTGGAGAATTTTCAGTATTCATATTTAAAAAAAAAAAAAGCATCCTCCAGGGTCTAGCCGAAATCCACAAAAGGTTTCAAAACAAAAATACTCACAATGAACTCCCATCCATACTTTGTTACAAGCATTCAAGTGAAAAGCAGATACACACATACACACGTAAAAACATTAAAAAGTAAAATAACTGTGCACTCTTTTTGGGGATCCATAACCCTGCCCTCTCTTTTCTCTGAGAGCACGCTTCACAATGCTTCTGATGCAGCTGCTGGTGAGTAACTGACCTCATCAGGCCGGTCATCTTTTTTGCTCCCCTGACTTCCACCCCATCACAAACAGACCACTTACTGGTACATTCTCTTTTTGCTGCAGAGCTGCCTTCTTCTTCCACAGCCGGTCCCTCAGCTCATTAACACGCTTATCCATGACTGCCACTTCTGAATTGCGCTTATTCAAGCACTCCCTCTGTTGCTGCAGCTTGGCATTCTGTTCTTGATTCAATTTGTTTCTTAACTGGGAAAAATGGAAAAGAGAAAAAAAGTAGTCAAGGAGTAGGAAGAAAAATTTCTCAAACATAATCACATGGAAAACTATTATATAATTTCTATAAATGTAAAGTTCCTCCAGCCCTCCACAACTCTCACCTTGGTTTAAAATTAAGTGACACCTGTGTTAGACCATTGACTGAGGTTCTGAGGAATGTCTCAAATTTCTGGTATGTGGTTCTATAAAGTTTATTCTGGATTCTTTGGGGTTTAGGGCCCACTCCCTTTAAATAAAAATGCAACTAAAATCCAGCCCTTTCTGCCACTTATATAACAACTCTATGTTCCTGGAGAAGTCCCTGGGTGGTGCAGTTAACATGCTCAACTCTTAATGGAAAGGTTGGAGGTTCAAGTATACTCAGAGGCTCCTCTGAAGAAAGGTTTGGTGATCTACTTCCAAAAAATCAGCCACTGAAAAAACTATGGAGCACAATTCTACTCTGACACAGAATTACAGCACCTGGTAAAGAGGTGGTTGTTTTACTGTTAACTATTGTTTGCTGTTGAGTCGACTCTGATTCAGGATGAACCCTTATGTACAGAGTAGAAATGCTCCAAAGGGTTTTCAAGACTGTGATCTTTCAGAAGTAGATCACCAGGCCTATCTTCCAAGGGGTCTGTGGGTGGGTTCAAGCCACCAACCTTTTGGCTAATAGTTAAGTGTTTTAACTATTACACCATCCAGGGACTTGAGAGGAAGAGATGTTGTATTTAGTAACAGGGTAAAGTTTACCTGAAGTTCCTTATAGAGGCGATCAAGCTCAGCCACTGCAGACTGGCTGTCATGGTGGCCATCAATCCTGCCATTCTTGAGCATCTCCAGTTGTCTTGTAAGTTCCTCTACTTTTGACACAGCCAGAACGAGCTCTCTCTGCTTTTGCTGGAACAAGCTGTTCATCTGTTCAATTTCCTCCACTAGAATGGGAGTGAGAACAGCAACAACAGTTGAAAAGGAAAACAAGAACGGATTACCATGTTTTATAAGAACCATGTTTTATAGTAAGTTTTCTAGTAAAAAGTGGAGGAATTTTTCAGAATGTCCTAAAATGAACCTATTCCTTTTAGAAGCAAATAAAACTACACAGACATCTCTAGCTGTTCTTTCTCTAATTGTTGGAGATGTTCGTTTAAAGTGTTGATTTTGGCTCTTTCTTCTCTTTTGATGTGTGCACTTATTGCTATAAATTGGCCT